ATAAGTCCTTTTATTTAGTATTTCAAGCAGGTCAAATAACTTTGATGTGTACTTCCAATCATTAAAGGACTCAAAAGCTTTTATAATCCACCATAAAAACTTTACCATCTCGAGCAACCTCATCATAGTCTTCAATTCTTATGTTCAGAGGTTCAAAAATCCAACCTTATCTGCTGTGAGACCAGATTACAGAACAACCATAATAACGGTACACAGTCAATGGCTCAAAACTACCGACTTAAACGATTATCTTTGGACGTATTTCGGCTTTTGTTACTTTAACTTTTACAAGTAACGCAAATACAACTAAACTAAACAAAGTGAGCTTCTAAATGTATCTCTGAACATAACTTACTTTTAAATATAGACCATGCTTCAACTGACCGACCAATCTTACCAGCGCACTTTGGAATAGCTGATGTGTTAGCTCTCCATACATTTGGGCGAGGTTTAACCTGATCGTGTATCATGTCACTAGCTCTAAACATGAATGACAAAGCGGCATGATCGCTAATCGCTAACAGTGGAGAAATATTTAGGTTGACAATATCCTTAGCCGCATGAGTGATTACCAAGTATAACAAAGAGCAACCGTAGTTCGCACCAAAATCTGTGGGTTTGGATATATGGTGTACTAATATATGCTCCATTGGCATTATCGGGAACTTACTATCAAAAAAGTTTGTAGATATTACCGGGAGCATCTCAGTCCGAATAATATCAGGTGTGATAAAGTCTCCGAATATCAAGCATCTGTTATTTACACACCATAGTTGAATGTGCTCCAAAATAAAGTCATCAGCTAAAAGGATTGGGCAGAAATTGATCACACCGAGTATAAATTGAATAATAATAATAATTTATTCACAAATAACAGTCTGTTACATGAGGCATGTCAATTTACAAGCAAGATCAAATGTATAACATCCGATAGTGAATTCACAGATAATGACCTCACAAGTTCCCCTATCATGGGATTCTCTAGCAAAAGAATGGATACTTATATTATTCGTTATGTGTAAAAGGACACCACTGCCCTCTGAGATAGTGGTATCCGGATAATTCTGGTGTAATGTCGAGGTTGTGGACTAACCAAGTTTCTGTCACATCTACGATGAGTGGCTTCAATTTGTCCACTAAGGCTCCTAGTTCATAGAATTTATTTCTTACACTACGAACATGTGCATATAAGACTCCTAGGGAGAGTATTGATGACTTGGTGTGCAAACTTGTATACCACGGATATTTTGTTCGTCCTTGGTTTTTCTGCTCCCCTGCTATGTCCTCTGAGATGTCCTTATCTAGCGGAAAGAAAAAGAGATGTTAGGTCCGAAATCATTTCTTAGTATTCTATACATCAAAATCAGATGACCTCTTAATCTGCGATAGGACGGAGTAAAGAGGTCTAGCTTTGACAGCCTATTTTTGTGTGATAAACACTGGAGTCCTGGAATTGCACGGGTATCTGCTCTCTGTACTTGTTCCGGGGCATTCGAGTCACCTACTAAAAGAAGGCTTGCAGCCCGAATGCAGTTCTCAATTTTAGTTCTCACTAAGATTTTGTATACCGTAGGGAACATGGTAGTATCTAACTTGGTGAATGTCCCTCTTAAAGCCCATAGGGTTCTAAACGTTTTGGCTGCGACGTCCCGACAGTGAGCTGTGGTCATGATTCACTGTCGCCCCAAGATCCTTGTGCGACCAGACCACGGGTACGGGCACTTCCCCTATGCTGTACCTATTAACCTTTGTATCCCTAAAGTGCATGTGGACACATTTCAACTATCTGATAGGCATCAGCCATTCCTTAGATCAGTTAATCACAACATTTAGGTCTGCCTGAAGTGCGTATGCATCTGCGTCTCCCGTTATTTCTCTCCAGATTTTTGCATCATCACTGTGCAGTAACATTGAGGACCCAACCATACTTCGGAAATCATTTGCGTACAGCATAAAAAGTAGAAGGCCTGGGACAAAACCTTGAGATATTCCACCAAGTACAGAACTCTAGATGGAGCACTTCGCATTTATTCTTTCTTTCTGTTCATGACCTACTTGGAAATCCTTAAGTCATTCTAAGAGTGGTCCGGCAATACAAAGATTTTCTACTTTCAATGACAGTCTATTTGTTGGCATCTTGTAAAATGCTTTGCTTTTCCGTTGTCTAGAGCCTTTATTCATTGCTCTCTGGCTATTAGGGAGTTTGTTGTGCAAGATAAACCTTTTCTCAAATCATAATGTTCGTTGTTTAACAAGTTGTTGGTTACCACAAATGTCATTATGGTCCGTTTGACTATTCTTTCCAGTATTCTAACCGCAACACTGGTGAGTCTGACAAGTCAGTAGTTCGATGGAAGTTGTCTTGGTACTGTTTTATGTATAGGAGTGACGACTGCATCCTTCCGGTCCATAGGTAGCACACGTTGGTCAAGTTACATATTGAATATCAGAGTCAGTTAGGCTGCAATATATTGTGCAATATGTCTCGCGTGTTTGGGGTGCATTTAATACAGTCCTGTTGATTTTTCTATGTCTAAGGTGCTAAGAGCCTTAAGTACATCGTCTCGATCAAAGTCCACGGTGAGCAGGCAGTTTGTTGTCTTTGTAGTTGGGTCTAGTTCTTCGTCTAGAAGAAGTTCCTGAGTGAAAACTGCCCAAAAATAATTTGCCATAGCCTCTGCTTTTCCCGACTGTCCTCTATCATTTCAGAGGCACTCTCTTCATTAATTAGATAGGGTGTCCAATGATGTATCCCTGTTCTGTAATTTATGAACGAAAATATCTTCTTAGGCTGCTTGAGTGCAGATTGTGCCAACTGCATCTCATATTTTCTCCGGAATTCCCGAAGTTTAATTATACACTAATTTCCTGTCGTTGTAGTGCTCCATATTACTTGCTGAGTCAAGGCTGTTGGCAACGTTCTGACATTTCTCATTTTGTCTTAGTAAACGTTGAATATCCCGGCGTATCCCCGGATGGCCGTGTTTTTTCTTTTTTGGTACTGTCCAGGGTATATACGGTTGCATAAACCCATTGTATAACTGCCTGAAATCAGCTCGTTCCTCTTGTTCTGATGCTCCTGAATCAATTTTCTAGTTTTCGGCAGATGCTGCAGAGTTAATTGCCTCCATATCTGCCTTCCATTTGCTAGGACTGGACGTCGCAACTGTTTAATATGCCATCTCAGCTATGATGACTGCATGATTGCTTCTCCCTAGAAGTGGGAGGAAAGTCTTTTGACCGACGTCATCATCGTGTGTGAAGACTAAGTCGCAGAGAGACGAGGAGCTTCCTAAGCCATATCTGATGGGATCTCGAACGTTCTGGAATGAAGCTAGTGTAGTTGAGGTTTCTAACAGTTCGCAATCTAATGATGTTTTCTGTGACCCTACTTCTAAGTTAACGTCGCTTGTTATACGGCTTACCTCTATTACACCAGGACTTCAGTTTGTTCAGGAGGAAGTCATTTACTACGCATTCTAGATTGCGATATACTACAACTAATTCAAAATCTTGCCGTGTACATTTCATTCTGCAACACATTAGTTCACATGTCCCTGAATCATGTATCACTGTCTTAACAGCCTTTATTGTCATGGCACTTTTCGTGTGCAGGATAACCCCGCCTCCCCTAGGTCTGTCATTCCTACTGGATAAAAACCAATCGACTGAAATTCATTATTAACCACTTTTGACGTTAACCATGTTTCTGAGACTGCAATAACATCCATTTTTTCTATATCCACTATTGTCTGGAGTTCCGCCATTTTACTAACTAGGCTGTGAGCATTTGTGTAGCACACCCTTTGTTCTGTGGGGAACTTTCCCTTAACACACAAAATGGTTTGGGGGTCGTTTCGATCTAAACTTTCACAATCAGGAAGGTTTAAGTTCGAGGATTTTCCTCCGTCTCAGCGGCGCTTATATATTTCTACCTCTATCGATCGTCTCTTAATAAGATCAATCAGGCTGACATCCCCACGAACGTATATTCCAGACCCAATCAGTTCTCGTGCGTTTCCCAGTATTAGGTTTCTATTTTCAGCCGGAGCGAAGGTAGCCTTTACAATGGGGATTTTCTGAGTACTTTTAGAGTCCACTTTTTGTCCTATTCTATCAAGCTCACAGATGCTAACTCCTGAAACTGTTTCTGGGAGTAGCTTGCTTATTTGGGATTTTGGTTCATGTTTGGTAGGTTCTCTTAGCTTATGAAAAAAGCTAAATTCTTATCTACTGCTGCATATCTATGTTTAGCATCTCACCCGCCTATAGAATCAGCAGAGACTTTGCAGAACAACATGTTTTGTACAGCCAACATGATAACGTCTTGCGGCATCTCTTATATACAGCTGTTGTGAGTCATGTGCACATATTGTGATGCCACTTATTGCAGTTGTCACATCGCATCCCGTCATCGACAGGGAAATAGCATGCAGGTCTGCCACACCAATGAATAACTTGCACCATAAATTTGTTTGATCTCACAGCGAAAACTGATTTGTAGATAAAATGTCTTTGAAGGCTTGTTAGGTGATAGAAACGGTACACAAATAAAGACGGAGGTTTGTATATGACTCTACCCAACAACGATGAAAAAAATCAACTTCAGTCGTTGCAAAAAGTTATTAACACCTAAGGATACAAACAATACTAAAAGATATACTCAACGAGGAAAAATAATTTCCAGTGCCTTTAATTTTTTGGTATATGTACAGGAAAAGCACAGGTGATAAACTTCTCTGGAAAAAAGCGGCACTCTTGGGGATCACTTTAACTGGAATAAATTAAAGTGAGGCAAGAACAGTAGTCTTGATGAGTAATTTAGCGATCAATATCACAAAGTATACCACTGTCCTTTTCACCTAGCGCGCAAGTAAAATCAAAAAAAATTTACAATAAATGACATACTTTAATGCATAGAACGCAATGAGTTGATGAGGAAAATACTTATCAAACCGTAAACAAAAATGTTTTAATCATTGTAAGATGACCTTAACCTTGAATAAAGACCGCCAGAGTCGTTTAATGCGGTCTGGTTTGCCTTTCTCGTCGTAGGCGTTGTCGTGGTTAGTTCCAGCTTATTTCAAATCTTTAGAATACTAGATTTTATTTCTTAATTCCTCGTTGTTTATACAACGTATTCTTTAGGTTTGTTCGAGTATGTTCGTATGTTTGTAAGCTAGGTTATGAAACTACTTGTTATCTTTTACAAATGTTATATTTTGTGTCTAAGTTCGCTTGTTCATAATGGAAAACTCGTTCTCGTTATGCTGAAAGTCAGAGCTTCGGAAGCGTGTTTCGTGATGTTTTTTTTTCTGTTATTGATCAAGGTATTTTTGTTGCTGTAGGTTGTTAAGTGTATGTCATAGGGTATGAAGATTAACCTTTACGTATAATTCATGTCTCATAAGACGGTTTAAAATTCCTTACATTTTGATCACTGACATCGAGATAAGTGTCTGTATTCTTATAATTCATTGGTCAAAATGTAATTGTGTGTTCACACTAATTATAACAAACTTGTCATAATATTTAGCCACTTCGGTAGCAAAACTAGTGAGCGGTTTGTTAAAGTAGTAAGATCTGGTGTACTCGGCCAAGTCTGGGAAGTTAGTATTAAATTTAGGACTGTTGATAATGCAGATGAACTTAACGCCATTACCATCAGCATTTTTACTGCTCTAGTTATGAAAAAACGGAAATTTCGGTTTCGTTAATACTTAGATCGCGGTTTATTTTCGTAATTCAGTCAGAACGTTGAGTAAATATGAAATGAGATTGTTCTTCGAATGGATAAAATAGCAAAATATTGTACCCTATTGAGTAGTTTTTAGTGGGTACTTTTAAATACCTTGGGATGACACTAGTTGTGTAAGAGTTCTTACAACTCATAGTCTTATTACATATGGTATTGCTAAAGTCAGGTTTCATGACAATGAAAGATCTGTCACTTAACATCTTGTACTATTAATATATTAGTTTCTATTTTGTTTCTTTTTTAGTATTGTACTTCTAATTGTAATCTGAATAAATTGAAAACTGTGTGAAGACGATGCAAATTGTGTGGTAGTATTCAAGATATTGTAAACGAACTGATAGATTTATTTCTTGAATGTTTTCACAATCTTTTTACTGTTAGTATCATGAAATTCTAGCTTCTCTCATTTATTCGTAATATAGAGCTTGGTTCCAATGTCCACATGCTTGTTCTGTTATAACAAGATGGAGAGGATATAGGTTGAAGTCGTGGAAAAATCAATAGTGGTAGAAATGACTACAAATAGATGTTAGGATTCCGGAAAGTAAATTACGTACACAGTTTTAAGTTTGTGAAGTAATGTTGAAAATCAAGATTTAGATAAAAAATAAAATCGGATTCGTCTCTATTGTTGTGTCTGGCTGTGAACCATCTTACTCAAGGTATTTGACTATTCACTATAACTATCTTGTGAATCCCAACCAGGTAGTTTGTAAATTCTCATATAACTGTCCGGCTGCCAGTGTCTTCGAAAGTGAAGGATTTCATATTAGTTCGGTTATCTGTAGTCTTTTAACCTACCCCTAAACTAGTCGCTATTGAGGCCCTAGGTACACTGTAATCTGGCTTGAGTAAAATATTTTACAGTCACCTGAATTGAACACAATTTTACAGCCTTTATAATCAGTTTGTGAGATTTACCTAGTACCATACATCTAATGCCATCCTTGTTAAATCAGGATACATGAACCATGCTTCAAAAACGTTGGTCAAATTCTTGTAGCTCATATGTTTTCTGTCCCTTTAAAGACTATCTTCCATATGCACTAAGTGAAATGATGGACTGCACACAATAAGATCGTCACTTAATAGATTGGTAATTTGAGCACATCACAATTGGTGCAGTTAGCAAAGTCAAACGATCGTGCTTAGACGGTCTTGGTATGTCTATCGACTGCAAATGAGTCACCTCGGAAACCATTCATTTTCTGTCTTCACATGCTAAGTAAAATCACTTACTATATCAACTCTTCTGGTATACATAATCTCACATAAAGTTAGACTCAAGTCTGGTTTATTGTCATCGAAATAATAGTTAAGGGCTGATCTTTGTAATAATTCGCTACTGCATAAAAAAGCTAATTTGCATAAGCGTTACATGCAAATGATTAATTATAAACGACGTAGAACTTGGAAAAGGTTTTTATCAGTCGTTATCGGGGAGAGTTTTACTTTGATACGAATGTACGTTGGTTTTTAAAACAATAATTTGAGTGCTATTTACCCAGTGCGTTCGATTGATAATCACTAGCAAAATATAGTTAGTGACTTAACTCTGCTAAATAAACTGATCAAATGATACCACAGAGAGATATGAAAACAAACACGTCAGTTACGGCATAAGCAATCATAGAATATAGACTTTTCACATCGTTCACTGGTCAGTTAAATTATGATTCGACTATAAGATCTAATTTTTTCCACCACAACAGGCTTGTTACCTTACTTTAATTCGGAACATAAATAGTAAATTACCAAAAGAGGGATCTTAAGAGTTAAAATGTTTTTGAAGAAACAAAGGATAAAATGAAGTTTGAATACAAAGTATAGCATTGTATATCACTGACGTGAAGGTCAAACAAGTGCATTTAAAATTTTGTAATATATTTGATTAAAATCATTGAATGGCGAATTTTCACCTCTTACACCTTTTCTGTCGATCATTGTTTATTTTATACTGTTCTGTTTCAGTCTTCCCGTCTTTTACGTCATATATTTTACAGGATAAAACAACACTGTACATTAAATGCAATTTAGTACACTTTCTTCGGTTAGTTAGCTGAAATTAATCGAACAGATGTATTAAAATATACTGACAGTGAACTAACTGGAACCATTGTGTAAAGACGTTTTCTGCTCCGAAAGCGTCACTTTCACGAAAGACTCATTGCAAACTGAAAGTGAAAATCAACTCTAACGGATTTTATTGATTAACTGAAAGTATGGATGCTTAAGAACTACGACGTCACTTTATGCCATATTACAGTAGTCAACAATGGATTTTCGCGAGTTGAACAAAATCAAGAAAGAAAATAAAAAGGTTTCCGTTTGATTGACGTCATATTTTACTTTTCAGAAGCCCATACTTGTAATCAAAGATCGAAAAACTGTTCTATCGGCTTTGGATATTCAAAAGTTGTTAGGCTTGACGATTTTCCCTCAGCATTTCGTTAAGTGGCCTGAGTAAGCTCGTAATTTGTTTATGTTACCTGTGTAGCTGGTGTTCAGTCACTAAGCCCTCGTTTATCAAGAATATCGTTCTGATATTTATTAACAGAGTAAGTAATCTGAAGTCGAACGAAAAATACGGGAAACAATTTGCTCTGATGTTTGGGGAGGTAAATCTTTTAACGTATCCATTTTCTTTAGCCACTGAAAGTATTAAATCCAGAAGCCTATAATTATTCATGGGACAGAGAAATTTCTACTGTCCCCAGAAGTTTCCTCACAACTCACGCAGCAGCTATGGCGGGTATGTTTTTATTTCGGTACATATTTTTTAATCAATTATGACCAGTGACAAAATATTTTTTAAAAGTCTAGGTGCCATGTCATACCTATTTATCTAACTTAACTACTATCCCAAGACATCTCACTCATCCTAAAAGTTATTATCGTTCTACTATTTTGAAATGAAAAACTAATTTCGTTATGCTTTTATTTGTATTGTGCCAGATAAGTGATCAACTTGGTCCGAAACGTACATCTCTATGCATTTTAATGTCATTATTATACCCCTTGGGTGAAGTTTTGTAGTAGGTGCTTTACAAGGTCACTGAATTCCATTGTTACGTTACAAAAATCGTACATCGTTATTAAAAAGAGTGCCATTCGATTTAGGATTCATAAATTTGGTTGGTTCGTTTGGTTCTTTCGCACATATGTCCTGATACCATTCAATTACACATATAAACGTTTAAGCGTAATGCGCTTGATATTTCCAGTCATCCAGCGATTGCAATTATGTTTATCCTTATAATGAAATTTATGATCAACTACTGCATTCGCCGTAATCGGGGAAAAGACTCAATTTTTGATGATAACTCATCATAAGTAAACGTTGTAACAAAAAACCTATGGTTCAGCTTTGCTTTAAATCTGAATGAAAATATTTTATTTATTTTATTATCTTATTTGAACACATAGATATTGGTACAAGGAGGTACCAAATACATATGCGCCACACAAATCTCGTTTGATTTGTGCGAGGGCTGCGATACTGCCCGGGTGCCCAAACCGAAGCAGGTGGTTTTCTTAGGAGACCACATCCGTAGCCTTCGACCTAAAGGTCTAATCCACAAGGCAGTGGAGCATCGTAAAGAGATGCGGTCCCATAGTAGCCGGTGACCAACGATTGGTTCATACGCCATTTGTTCCTTCAGGATACTGGAGCCCATGTGCACCATTTGTTGTGACTTTATGTCTGGCTAGTTATCACGTGATTTATCCACCAATCAAATTACTAATTATACAATCGTAGCACTGTGCCAAACCAATGACTTTCAATCAGTATTAGCAGCCTAGCGTCCTTATTGGTCTTTTGTTCGCCTAGCCCGTCCACTTAACTCAAGAACACCAATACCAGCTTCCACTATGAGAACCATATATTTCAAACATAATGTGTTTATATACCAAACAAACAGACCACAACGCACCATAAAATAGGAACTAACATTTGTACACAATAAAGCCAAAAAGTGGCTGTGAATGTGGGAGACAGTAGTTAATAAACTGAGCATAATTTAGGGACAATAAATCGTACAATAATAAATTATAGGTCAAAATGAAGCTTATAATAAGAGAAATATAAATATGCATGATCTAATTATTGAATAATTATACAATAAGAATATTTATAGAATATTAGTTCATTAATAGTCCTCGGGAGTTACGCGTAATTTGATCTTCACTAGGATATAACACCATTGGTTTGGAACCAAGGTTTTCCAGCTCACCTAGGTGGACTCTCCGTGTTCACCAAGCACTGGACATTCGCTTTTCGTCCTCTAGATTTCGTAAACAACACCCCCGCCACCAGAAGGCAGTAAGTAGGACTTCCCTGGCAGAGTCTGTATACGTGTGGTCATGTGAGAGCATTTTGAGAGGGTGAGCAGACGCTCCCCCCTCCTGGCCGTACCAGGGCATTTGCGGGTGAGTGAAAATCTCAAGACCTCCTGAATACTTGTGATTACACAAAGCTTCCCCAAGTAATTTTCGGAATTACGATGGCTTAGAAGTTTTTTATTCCAATATTAAATAATTTAAAGTCATTAAAAATCATCACGTCTCACTCGTTTTTTTCAGAATCGATCCAATGGTGTAGGTGTATACACTTTGTCTTCCCTTAAACTATGAGATTAAATTTGCTTCGTATCTTTCTTTCTACCAACTAATTCTTTCTTCCTGTACTATATGCTAATATACAATTTTTTATATACTACCACTATTGAATTAACTACTTCTATGAATTCGGTGTTCATCTTGTTTTGCCAATGAGGTGTGATAACTTGGACCGATGCTTATATGTGCCTGGTCCTACTTTGTACCTGACTGACTGACTCGTTTTTAGTGGTTGTTTGGATTTTTCCGTTGATGTTTAGGACTGAAATTGATCAGTCTCTCGCCACATGGACATCCTTTGCGAGTGTCCTTGATATTTTCATCAGGGTAAAAGCTTTATAAACAGAAAGGGATAATGGCTAGCAGTGAAATCATTAACGTGCGTCTCGTCCTACTTGGTACTCGGTAGTTGAATACACCTGTGTCCCAGAATTGATGTTCACCCAGAGACTCGAACTTTGTGCCTGTCTCTGATCATTCGCAGTCCAAAACATCAATAGAACGATTCAAATAACCAATACAAATGGATTAAAATTCACCCGATTATACAAGTGAATCGTTATCTGGAATCAGTAACTAATTTGATAACGTAATGGCGTTTTGAGCGAACAATAGTGGGTTCGAGTCCCGGACTTAACATCAACAGTAGGATGTAGGTGTGTACAGCTGACGAGTTCCAGATAAGAAAAAACGTGCGCCTAGCTATCATCTGTCGTACCTCATCTTAATTAATGGGAAATTTTAAACTAATTTTTTTCAGTAGCATATAATTCACTTAGTTATGCTATAAATATTTGGTTAGAACTTTGTTAAATTTTGTTGAAATTTTAAAATACATTAGTATTCTGACACTCCTAGTTTCGCTTCAATATGGTGATAATTTCTACGCCAAATCCAAAAAGACAGTTTATACGGACTAAGAAAATTAAGGGCAATCTACAGTCATGCTTTCGATTTCCGTTAAATAAATCTATAATTTTCACTTATTTACAAATCAGTAATAAACATTTAGGTGTTGTTATTGACCATGCTAGTCTTTTCAACCTCCATAGAAATCTGGAAGAAAAGAAGAGAGAAACTGTCCATCGATAACTCAAAGACGTAGATAGTAGGAAAAATCTTCCGATAACTTAATTGTATTATGTAGTAGACCATTCAATAGATGTATACGTATAGTATAGTATTTTTAATATATATGCCTTTTTTGAAAATTACAATAGCCCTCCAAATATCCCTAATGTCTGAATGCCATTTGGTTAAATAGACGGGAATCTATTTCATAACGAGTGAATAAGGAGCAAAGTAGCTGTTTATGCTGTTTCCTAAAATACAAACATATAATACATTAATTTGGTACTCGATCATAACCAGCTAGTTTTATTTCGGAGACTTAAGCAGTCTTACACTATATGTTTATTAAAAAGACACCCCTTAGGAAATGGATTAACTAGAACAATGAGTCGATCATACGTAATTTTCAATAATTCAGTCTTTAGAAAGCCTTCAGTTACAAATTGGATGGAATACTGCTAGTTGTTTTAACGGCTTTCTGTGGCATTAAACTTTGTGTTGTGGCACTCAACACCAATATTCAAGTTGCTTAATATTACTGTGATAGTCGTGAACTTGTTAACATTTCAGTTGTTAATTTTCATGGTTTACTGGGTATGATAGTAACAGACTGAGAATTAATTGTCTATCACTCTATAATCTAAAGGTAATCAAACAGAGTCCAAAACCAGTTAAAATCTAATTTGATCTTCCACTAGGCAGGCTGTTTAACTTGGAAAAATTTATCATCTTTATACGTTAGTTTTCGATTAAAGTTGTGATGACTCCAAGGGTGATACAATTTTGAGCATCTGTCAACCTTGTTCTTTGATAAAAACATCGATCATATGCGGTTTTTTGTTTGCTGGTTCACTATCCAGATAAATACTTGTGGACTCGATTTGAGAAAGTCGTCTATGCATACAATCTGAACATAACAAATAGGGTTGGGGAAATTATGTGAAATAATGAAGCAACTAAGTAGAGACTTTAAACGATGGGAACGGGACAGATATATCACCTTAAATGAGAAGTATTTTGAACGACCAATAAGTGGTGTAACCTAAATTTTGTAAAATTATGTTTTTATAAACACAGTTTGTCCATTTATTCGACAAATCACGTATATGTTTATCCCTTCCTACATATGGTATGACTAATGGTTCTAGTTTTTCCATGAAACTATCCATATGACTATTTGTCTAATTCCCATATACAAACTAAAATCTGACAACCCCTTCAGCATAAACTTGTAATTTTCCATATTTTCTTTTGTATGTAGATTTAAATAAGTCAATACTAACTCCTGTTACCCGTCGCACGTGGGTAAATGATGAAAACACTATTGATAAAATGCGTATAATCAAATCAGTTCACGAAATAACTAAAGAACAGTTACCTTCCCAGACTACTACTACAACTGCTAATGAACCAGTAGAAAAACGCACTCTTAAAAGAAAAGCTGACACCCTTTTTCCATTACCTATACCAGGTACACCTGATGCATTTGATAGAACTTTACTGATTTTAAATGTTGAGCAAATGAAAAAAGAAAACATTCCATTACCTAATGAATTATTAATCGACCAACGTAAATACTTCAAAAATCGTTCAGATTTTGTACCGAGTAAAGTAAGTTTCTTTTTTACTGTTTACATGTTAAAATGCAATTCCCCTTCAATCATTCATCACTTAATATATCTGTTAACAACTTGTACGCTACGTCAGTGAATTTTTATTAATTTCGGGTGTTAGTGGCTAGCAGCAGAATCCATAACTCACGTTTCATCTTTTTTGGGACTTCACATCTGGATTTACTTCGATTCTAGTATTGATATCTACACTCTGAGAGTTGAACCCACTAACTTTCTCTTTAAACCCCGAACACGTTATCCACTGAGCTGTTGAGTCCAGATGTTCAGAATACACATTCTTCAAAAGGGACAGTTCATTAGCAGTCCGTAATATAAGCACTTCAGTGAATGTTTTACATTTCTTTCTGTCGAAATATGTCTAAAATTATTGTGTGAAGAGTTTGTACGCAACGATTTACCAATGATTACTGATCTGTTTGAGTTTTTTTCGGTACATATACATTAGATACCCGTTTGTAAGTGATCAACACCATGCTGCCTGTCTGACCTGTCTTGGTTGTCTACAAACCTTAACTTATGGGTTTCACTGGCCAAACTTAACTTCATTTTATGAAATATGAGCAGACAACCGTCATAATAGACATAACTTTCCATAATCCATCACATAAAATTGTGTATACTAAAGATGTGAATAAAACTACAAGGTGTTTGATATTATGGCTCACCCCTAACTAATCATTGGTTTGCACTAATTCTCTGTGTTCAAAACAACCTGCTGAAAACCAACTATCTGCTTTTACATTTTCCCAGCTGTAGGATTTATCTTAGTTGAGTGTCACTCACTAACCAAGTATATGTTTGCGTACTTGAATTTTAAGTGTAAGCACCAGTTATACTATGAGATCTCGCGAGCTGTATCAAGAAGAGTTGGATTTGTACTTGTAACTCAATACTTTGAAATTGAATACTTCAAACACGTCAACTAATCCAACTTATGGAGACAATAAGTATTCCAGTTAAACAGATTTGTATCGAACATAAATAATTCACAGCCTCTTTCGCCTGATTTAGGATTAACCAAGGTTTGAGTCATTCTTATTGTAAGGTATGCTAAGAGATTGGAAACAGTCGGGAGGAAACCATATTAATTATCACTCGCCAATAAGATGTATGCACACTTTTGAGGGGTATGAACCTGTGTTACCCAGTTTCAGTCAAAAAAAATTAGTGCTAAGATATTTGAACTAGGATTGAAATTCTTACATCGGTTGATTCAAGGAGCAGCAACCATTGTTACGTCATCCAGAGTATTTAGAAGATTCATCAAATACGCTTGATATGCATACTTTCAACTTCTTTATTTTCACGTCCTGAATTTTTAGGTTTAAGTTTTATCAATTCCGTGCTTAGCATTCACTGCATTTTCAGCATATATATATATATATATACATATATATATAATTATTTCGCCTATTAATTCGGTTCCACAGGTTCAGTATCCCTGTTATTTATGAGTTTTCTTGCATGCGTAAGTGGTTGAACAAGCATATTAGAATCTTTTATTTTTTGTATTGGATGTTGTCCAATGTAACAAGTATTTCTTTAAAAAAAATTGAATCATATTTCCATATACGAAATAAACGATGACCCATGCAATCAGTAAATTAACATTATTTTCCTTTAATTTCCTTATATTATCATTACAGCCCGTATACCTTCCTGTATCAGCCAATAGCCCAATGTATGCAATAGACTGTGAAATGGTACTTACATCCGTAGGAAGTGAGTTGGCTCGAGTGACTATGGTTGATGAGAAGGCAACAGTTATGTTCGATCGTTTAGTGAAACCGCCAAATCCTGTTAAAGACTATTTAACTAAGTAAAGTTATATATCTTTCGTACAAGAAATCGATATCTAGTTTGTGTTTACCAACAATATCATTTTTTGTAGTACACTATACAATAACATTAACCATTAAACTGATCATTTTGAAAGTTGTACTTGTTAAGAATATAAGGATATTATAGAAGTATTCACAACCTATTACATTCAAATCCTTGGTAAAATTATACTTTGCTAATGAACCAATTAAAGATAGCGGCTGCTGGATTTCTTACTTAACGAAAGTCAGTTTATATTTTATTGACAGCTAAGTAAGTAATGAGTAAAAAAACTTGTGAATATTTAGTAGTGAAAACTTTTAAAATTAATAAATATGGGAAGGTTAAACGATAAGAATCATAATTTATGAAGCCATTAGACTAACCAAACGGTTGTTCATATTTCGTATCAGGAAACCAGCTAGATATGTGTTCCTCAATATACAAAAGGTTCTTTAACTTTGTTTCTGTAAATTACTCTTAATCCAAATTCCTAACACAGTTATTTTATTCTATCAAGTCCATAGTATCCCCGGATTTACTGACATTTTAAAACATAGAACAGACGGAGTATAACTAGCAGTGAAATTCAGGGCGCGCGTTTCCTCCCATCTGGAATTCGTCAGCTGTACACACATACGTCCTTCTGTTGATGTTTAATCCGGGACTCGAACCCACTATTGTTCGCTCAAAACGCCATTACGTTATCAAATTAGTTACTGATTCCAGATAACGATTCACTTGTATAATCGGGTGAATTTTAATCCATTTGTATTGGTTATTTGAATCGTTCTATTGATGTTTTGGACTGCGGTTGATTAGTCTCTTTTGGCATATGTACGTCCTGTGCGAACTCCTTCGATATTCCCATCAGGCCGAAGACATTATGAGCAGAAATAGATGGTGGATAGCAGTGGAGTCCTCGACGCACGTCTCACGCTATTTGGTACTCGTCAGTTGAATGTACTTGTATCACATATTTGATAAATTACAATCCTAAACATCAATGAGATGATGCAAACAACTAGTTTTTACATCATTATGGAATTCTCATAGAATAAATAATTTATATATTGATTATTATTGGAAGATGTAGTATTTTCCGATAAATCCTACTGGAATTAGACGAAAAGCCTTGCAAGAGATGCTTTAAAAGTCAAACTATATTTGTGAAGTTGAATCCGATGCCCTGGTGTTAATGGCTGATTCTTGAAAGTACTTCACAATGCTCTTCAAATATCTCAAGATTTCGTACTGCCACCATCGTTTAGAGCTGCGATCAACTTTCTGAGATTTTTTGTCTTCTCAAGACTGAATTAGAACGTTTTTCGAGGGTCGAGGGAGTTTAGTGTGTACTTCTTTTTTAAGTGATTTGATTTCCGAGTCCTGTACCAGTGTCAATACGTAATAGTTAATGGAGAGGTATTACGGTTATAAGGCGATCCATAATCGTATACTAGAGTTTAGGCGTTCGTACGCGAAACCATCGTTCCTGTGTTTCATTCCCACATGTAGGGTCGTGAATACCTACTGTCGAGTAGTTTAGTACTAAGACTGGACAGCCATCCACTGCTTCCAGGTTTTCAATGATGATACAACATTGATCGGTTCATGATTTCAGCGAAACAGCTCTTCTGTTAACCAGATTTACCTAATCTTTGATTTTTTCGCATTTTACACTATTTTTTTAAATTTCAGATTCAGTGGAATTACTAGAGATATGCTTGCATTAATAGACACTACACTGGAAGATATACAGCGTGAATTAGCTGAAACGTTACCAGGAGATGCCATCTTAGTTGGTCATTCGATTGGAAATGATTTAGAAGCCATGAAGGTAGGTGAATTTCTTTTTTTTTTTAAATAGTGAATTACTGGTTTATTTTGTTTATATAAACAAATGAAATCTAGATTTTTGAACTAAATACTGTCACTCCTTGTACATCTAAGTCAAACATGTAAACCATTAAATCTCGTTTCACTAGTTTAAACGTTAAGCGCTCTGTGCAAGATATGGGTGTTCTGAGTTCGATTTTCGGTGCTAACGAGTTCACTGCTTCCTCATTTTCAGTAGTTGTCTTGTAGTGGTTAGTATTATTTCAAGCCCACACGGGTTATTCTATCTTCTGGATAGACCAATTTATTTATTCTTCTTGACTCACACTTAAACTATGCCACTTATCCGCTTATTAGCCTTGATTGATTTTATATGAGCGTGTGTTAATTGCTTACCATATTCATTACGTGTCTGCAGCTTATTTTTGTCTGAATATAAATATCGAGTCAAATCGAGTTATCTCACTAGCCTTCTCCGCTCCGCTTCTTGTTCTGAGTGTCTGGATAAACGAATACTTGAAATAAATTCCTCCAACGCAACTCGTATTTGGCTTCTTGTTACCGCCATTACACAAACGGGGTTAGCCTTTTTCTGTGACTGTTTTCCACTACTTCAGTTGGATAGAAAAGAACCTATAAATTTCTTTTTGCTAAAAATTGCTGTTTTTACTTAATTGTTTGAATAATTTCAGGTTTTTCATCCGTATTTAATTGATACAAGTGTCATCTATAATCTGAAAGGCAATAGAGCGGCTAAAACACGTCTTCGATTCCTATCAGAACATTTTCTTGGGTTAGTTATTAGAATTTTTCTATTGTTCTGTCACAGTAAATAATAGCTTATGTATTTGTTCATTTTTGATAGAATTCTTTCGTTGATTATAAGGATTTCTGTTTGAAAAAAAACAGCGGTTGTAGCAGAATAAGTACAGTCAATTATTTTGTGTATCAATTCTCTTTACTTCACAATAAATGAGTGCACATAATCTACAATCAGATTTATGGAAAATTATTAGCATAAAGGGTGTATGAGGGCTATTGAGTTTCCATGGTTGACATCACGAACCGACTTATTATTATTTTTATGCCTTAGTAAAATATCAAAATCATACATTAAATACATCATTAGCATATATTCATTGCGTTTTCCTTTACATACTTCTTCGTTCTTCCGACCCTTTTGTTAGTCTCTTTATTCCAATCTTCTGATGGCGGGCATTCCACTTTCAATTCCTGTTACATACTGCTTATATCTATCGTCGTCAGTAGCCCACATAACAGCATCAACATTGATATTATTCGACCCAATTCATTTTATTAACATATTCCCCGCTGTACTTTAACGAAATGAGCTTCATTAGATTGATATATATCACAAACATATTGAATTCATATTCCTAGATAGTTTCGTTGTGTTTTGGAGAAATTAGTCATCGAAACAGAAATAAACTTCAAGTCACTATCTGTCAATTGATCAATTAGTAAAAAAATCTAGTATTACTTCAACACTTCCAGTTACATACACTTTTTTGTTTTAGACGGATGATTCAAACTGGTAAAGGAGGTCATTCTTCCGCTGAAGATGCCATTGCTACAATGGATCTTGTACGATTAAAACTAAGTCAAGGTAATTAATTATCGTTTGTTGTTGTAGTCGGATTATAATTTATGGACGAACCAATCAGGTTTAAGATAACAGATCTTGGATTTCGGTGCGAAATTCATTCATCCGTTTGGTTAAGTAGCGTTTTGACATTTTAGCTGATACTAGTTCGTGATGTAAACCCTAAATCTAGTTCCTAACCCTAACCATCAACTTTAAATCATAATCTTAATTCCTCACACTGGTTTATAACCCTCATTTGGTGGACATTCTCATGGTCACTCCAGCGTCACTCAAAGGTCGTCCATAAATTATAGTCTCACCGTTGCTGTTGCCTATATTGTGCTTTCGTTTTAAAAACAAAATTAAATGTTTTAAATAACAGCATACTGTATGCATATATCAGTCATATTTTAAGACGGCGGCTATGGGACTGTTTTTTTTGCATGGGATTTAAAACAGTGACAGAGACCTAGGTTATTGTGGGCTAAATATGAATCATTTCGGTTATTAAGATATTTAAAATTGGTAAAAGGAAATATAAGAATCATGTCCAATGGATTACTGTCTTTCTCTTTTAAAGGTAACTTCAAAGTTTTTGATATTTAAAATCAGAGCACTAATCGCATAACAATTCATTTATGTAGCTCACGAAACATGTTTTTCGAAAAACAATATTCGTCATAACTATTGCTTCTAATTCTTATTCTATGTTCTGATTCTTTCTAACATTATATCTTGATGCAGACTCTACATTGACTCTGATCAATCTTATCTCCTAACCATAATCCTAACTGGCTTTTCATGTAACAAATTATTCTTATGTATCACCTACATTTTAATGGACCAGTAATTGTCTCTACTTTCTCTAATTCATCTTTTATTTATTTTAACACACAAATACGAAGAAGCACCGAAAACATATGCGCCACACAAGTCACTTGATTTGTGTGTGTGAGCGGTGATACTTTCCGGGTGCCCAGACCGAAGCAGATGGTTTTCTTAGGCCACACCCTGAGCCTTCGACCTAAAGGTCTGATCTACAAGGCAGTGCTCCATTGAAAACTGATTTAAAATGAAGGCTGAAAACTGTTGTATGTTATCACAATGGTATCATCTATACCACAGGATACAAACATTTTGAGTTCGGTCTCATATGGAATCGCTGACCTTCATTGCTGAGGAAGTCTAAAGCCATAACAAAAAGCAACTGTACATTACCCATTTGATAATAGTTGTCAATAAAGTTTGTTTCTAAAAAAAACATAAAACTTTTAAATAACAATATTATCGTAAATTTGACTTGTTTGTATGTTCAGGTCATATGTGTAATTATTTATTTGTCTAGATATTGGCTTTGGTGATGTGACTACATCTTGGCGTTTTCCAGAAGATTATCAATCGCCAATAGAAGCCAAAGTATTTCGAATTATTATTTATGTGTTGATATTACTATGTATAAGTAAAAACATTATTTTATCGATGCGGTTTCGAACTCAGTTTCATCTAATTTGTTTTTGAAAATTAAGCATTACTATTTATTAGGTCTTTATTATGATGCATAACAGAGTTAAAACTGTCTACGTTATCAGTGTTAGATTAAAAAAATATTTGATCACGTAACACACGTGCAACCAATAATTCGACCGTTTAATTAAGAACTAGATTAGACCACAATGAGCGTTTATCGAAACAAATACAGAACAGTAATGGAATGAATTTTATAAGATAATCAACCTCATATATTTAGTGTGACTGAAAATATCCATCTTCAATCGTTGACCAATCACAGGTCACTCTAACTGAATCTATCTGATTTATTCATAAAGTGTTGTTTAAAGCTCTATATATATAGACATCTCTATTTGATTGTTTTATTTCCCTATTCAGTTTATTTCAATTTAAACTACCGCATATAACTAATTGTCATTATTAAAAGTGTAGCCCAAAACAGAATTTATTATAATAACGGGATTAGTGAAAACCGTTAATTCCAAACTAATAATCTTTAGAATTTTGAAAGAATAAATAATGTATAGACGAATATTAATTATTTTTATTCTGTAAATTGAAGTTTTAAGTCATCAACTAAATTATATTTAATAGCTGAAATCATGAGTCAATTAAAGCTAGACCACCATGGAAAACCTGGAAATACTGAACGTCTGTCTCATCCTATTGTGAGGCTCCTCAGCAGTGCGCATCCACGATCCCGCCTCGCGGGATTCTAACCCAGGACTTAGCGGTCTCGCGTGCGAACGCTTAACCTCTAGACCACTGAGCCGCCACGCTTTGAAGGAACTAGCAAATCCAACTGATTGAATAAATAGTTAATTTATTCTTTTGCTTAGTATTCGTTGGACAATATAATTTTTTCAATTCTTCACAAATTAAAACAAGAAATAATAGCGAACAAATATATGTAGTGAACGAGAACTCAGGCAGAGCCGACCAATTTATGTTAATTAATGCAAAATTAGAGTTATTTGGTAAAGTGTAGCGTACACCACATATATATTTCTAAATCTTTATAAATAACGATTTAAAAAATACTATGTTACGTCCGACCGAAGAGTAGTAGATGAGTGGTAACTGCCAGGGATTATTTATGAACTATTATTACATATATTCTTACTGGATAGTTATCAAGTAACTTTTATATATATTGCCTACTTATTTACTTACACCTGTCACTCCTCGTGGTGGAGCATAGGCCGCCCACTAGCATTCTCCATCCAAATCTGTCTTGGGTAGTCCGTTCCAGTTGCTATTCATCCTTTTGATATCTGCTTCCAACTCCCGACGCAGTGTGTTCTTTGACCTTCCTCTTTCCCGTTTCCCTTTAGGATTCCAAGTTAGTGCTAGCCTCGTGATGTAGTTTGGTGATTTCCGCAATGTATGTCCTATCCAGATCTAGCACCTCTTCCTAATTTCCTTTTCAGGTGGAACCTGGTTTCTTCTCTCCCACAGTAGGCTATTACTGATGGTCTCCGGTCAACGGACATTGAGTAATCTTGCGTAGACAACTGTTTATAAATACTTGTACCTTTCTGATGATGGCTGTAGTAGTTCTCGACGCTTCTGCTCCATACAGTAGATCAGTCTTGACGTTTGCATTAAAGATCCTGACTTTGGTATTGATTAAAAGTTGTTTTGAGTTCTTTAATTATATATATTCCTTTTACCATAAGCTTTCATTTGACCTACTGACTACTGTTATACGACTTAATATTCTTCATTTATTCTCAATCTACTTGTTACAGTCTCCTACAATCATAGCCACTTATAGCTATAAGGCAGAGAGGCTAGTATATCGAGGACCAATAAAGTTGACTCAAGGTTTTTAGAGTTGGTTGACGCATTATTAGTTCAGCACAGGAACAAAGTCATGGAAGTTGATAGTGAGATTGACGATTTTGTCACGTAGTTTTTAACAGGCCATAAGACATAACCTGTTGGAGTTTATTTATTATATGATAATTTCTAATATCTTCTCAACTCACTCACTAATGCCTAAATATTTAATAGTTGAGTATCAATCGTTTTTTTACCTTCTCTCAACCGATCGCACTCAAATAAAAAGTTCAAAAGGGATATATATATATATATATATATATATATATATATATATATTAAATACTTCTTTTGGTAATTCATTTCTTGAAACTAAGGAAAAAAATGATTTGTTTACACCTTTTCAAGTCTGCTAGATTTGCTGCATTAACAACTAATGAACAAAACTCAAACATCTCTGGTAGTTTACAGCAATACAACAATACTACTAACAACAACAACCTTCAATTTATTTCATCAACATGTAATGATTTATTAACAGAAAGTCAATATTTTGAAACTCATCCAGTTTTTCAAGATCATCTATTAAAATTATGTTCATTTTATAAATCTTTGGGTAAACCAATTCACTTGTTTAATCGTTTACTACATGATTCCGGTATAACTTATGCTTATTGGCCAATTTATCAACAAAACGACAAAGAACAACAAATAGGAGAACAAGAGAGAGAAAAGGAATCAGTTCAGCATATTACTAATGATTTAAAACATAGCGAAATTTTCATACCTATAAATATTAATTCAACTGATCATCAATGGACTACTACTGATAATGTAAACACAACAACAACAACCACTACTACCAACAGTGATGAACCTACAACAACATTAACTGTAGTCAATAAGATTTCGAAAAAATTATCAAATTACATCGTTGATTTGTGTAATTCACATAGATTAGTAATGATACAGGCGAATTGTTCACCTGAATGGGATAAAGCAGTAAGTTGTTTAATATACTGTACAGTTTTATTACTATGGAGCGTTTGTGTATGTGATTGAAATTCATGGTTTACATCATTGATCAATCTTAGTTAGATAATCATTGAAAACCAAAAAGTACTAGGTAACTCTTTCGTCCTAGTAAGAGACTTCTCAGCAGCGATGCACATCCATGACACCGTAAGAATCTGAGCACTTAACCTTTGGACCGTTCAGTTGCCGGTTAGCTGTTTACATGTCTAACTTCACGCATTTCACGGTTTTTATTTGATGCAGTTAAGATGTGATACGACTGGGTACTCAAAATAATATGCGCTACAAGAAATAACATGTGTGTCCCTAGACCGAATCAAGTGATTTTCATAGGAGGATTCCGATGGTAGTCAGTGACTAAAAATGTTTCCCTCACGATTCTGGAGCCAACGTACACCATTAGTTTAGAATGAGGATTTCCCAACTTTTCCTGGTAAAACCTTCGTATAGACTAAACAAACACAAAATAAAGTAATTCGTTTGCCATCTATACATCTGTGTACCCGGTTTCGAATCACCAAACTACTTAACCGTCTTACAATGCTACTAGTAGTTAACTGTCTCACATGGTTGGAGTTTATTGGTCACAGCTTCTTCCTACGTCCCTGGGATTTATGACATATATTCCGATGGTAATGGTAAACGATAGATTTGATAGTTGGTCTCTGTCTTTTCTGTGTTAAATGTCAAGCTACTTTTGTTCTATTTTTGTTAGGAATCAACGTCAAATACATTGATTTACTGGTAGAAGCACTCAGTTCTCCAGTAGTAGTAGGTCGTAGTTTTTAAGATCATTCCATTTAATATAGTTTAGGCAGCTAAGTTATGTCACTAGGCCCCATACAAAAAAGTGTGACTAAGCAGACTCAACATATCTGTGATAGGTAAATGAGAGTCAGTGATAATCAACGTAGCTCCTGAGACAAATATGCGTACGTTCAAATTGACATCTAGTGGTAAAAGTGCAAATGCGAACGACCAACTATTGAGAACACAACTTTAAAGAGTGAAAACGCATGTGTGAAGGAGCAATAGAACCGAAGGTTAGAGAAGGGGCAATACGTTTGCATCACTGACCGATCCTGACCCATTTTATGCAAAATTTCCAATCATTAATTGCGCGAACCGCAACCACTCAGACTGCACCTAGCAACATACAAACATTCAATGACTTTGTGAACTAATGAAATATATATTGATATCGTCGCCGATAACTTACGTCCAATCTATTCCACAGTTAATATTGCGTATCGAGGTAGGCGATGGTTATGCATATGCGACACATGTTTTAAACACCTCATTCAAATGAATATTTAATGATAATCAGGATTAAAATTATTTTACTTTTGTGCCCTTGCTCTAAATACCATACTGTTATCATGTAGGTTATGCAGTTCCCAAGAATTGAACATCATTTCATGTTTCAGCCTCTGGGTTAAAACATAAGCCATTACAATTTATGTATAGTTTATACATAAATAAACTTTCCTCATCTGTAAATAAATTGCAGCCAACCTTACTGACTTAAACTACCTAACACTGACTTATAGCTTGTGTGCCCCCAAATGCCCTGGTATGGCCGAGAGTGGGGGGAGTCCGCTCCTCCTCTCGAAATGCTCTCACATGGCCACGCGTATACAGCCCCTGCCAGGGAAGTCCTACTCACTGCCTTCTCGTGGCACAGGTGTTGTTTACGAAAATGAGAGGACGAAAAGCGAATGTCCGGCGCTTTAACCGGACCCCAAACCAATGGTGCACATGGGTTCCAGTATCCTGAGGGGACGAATGGTGTATGAACCAATTTTTGGTCACCGGCTACCATGGGACTGCATCTCCTTACGATGCTCCACTGCCTTGTGGATCAGATCTTCAGGTCAAAGGCTCGGGGTGTGGCCCCCTAAGAAAACCACCTGCTTCGGTTTGGGCACCCGAGCAGTATCACAGCCCTCACACATATCAAATGAGATCTGTGTGGCGCATATGTATTTGGTGCCTTCTTGTGCCGATATCTATGTGTTAAAATAAATAAATAAAAAAATATAGCTTGTGTATATTAAATAGAGTTTATTGATTGTATAGTTTCAAGAACGATGATGGTAAATCAGTTGATGAGGTTATGAACCTTCATCGACTGAGATGGTTGGGCCACGTTCTGCGTATGTCTGAACATCGATTACCACGACGCGCAATGTTAACCGGTGTTATAGATGATTGGAAGAAAGTTAGGGGCGCCCAAACCAAAACGTGGCATCAGTGCTTGAAGTGACTAACTGGTCTGAGCCATGTTGGAAGATTCAGACTGCCTGGTTGGGGTCCGCATGACTATCGTAACCAATGGTTGGAGACTCTTGGTGACATGGCTCAGAATCGGTCACAATGGCGTCAGTGTATACACTCTCTGTCTTCCTTTAAACTAAGAGATTGAAATCACTTCAAATCTTTCTTTCTAGGAACTAATTCTTTCCTCCTGTACTATCTCCTTATACAGAATCTTTCTTCTATATATTACCACCACTGAATTAACTACTTATATGAATTCGGTGTTCATGTTGTTGTGCTAATGAGGTATGGTAACTTGGACCGATGCATATACGTGCATGATCCTACGTCGCAGCTGACTGACTTCAAGAACGACTATTGAATAAACATATTCATCACCAACATTTTAATTATCAGTAGGAATTATTCTATTTGTTGTGATGGGCGGTGTCCAAAATCTGATACTGATACACGACATGCAATGTGCTACCCCCCAAACTGAATACTTGAACGAGAATGTATATTGGGCTACTGAATACAATGCACAAATACCCATATAAATATATACAACTCTACCGCTTAGGAAGTCAGCCCATTTCTTAGCCAATGAAATACACTTGTCCTACAGGTCACTTCAAATTGCCATCGACCAACCCTCTCATTTGGCTACTCCTGACTGGTTTACCATATCACTATTCGACTAAAGTAGAATGGTAGTTTACAGGTTAAGGTGTTCGGCTTTCACCCACTAAGTTCCCAAGTTCGAACTCCGCTTAAAATAGTAAGATCTAAACAACGAGATAGTAGTATCATTGGCTCTCACTTGAAGTGTGCTTCATACTCCATGCACATATCCAAGTGCCTGGTAGATGATTGTTAATTATACATATATTATTTTATAAGTATTGATTCATCATCCATAATGACGATTATTATCCACTCCAAAACGATATTTTCTTTAATTCATTAATTATATTAACAGCAATACATAAAATAAATGTTGTGGATAATCTCTATCAACTTGAACAATCTTAATTACTATCCAAAATAAACGTATTAATACCAAAAAGTATTTGTGTTCTTTGTCAATTGTGTGAATATATATTTTGCATTACTAATGTACCTTTGTTGAATATTGTTATTTTTCGTTTGTTTTCTTTTTTTCTCTTTATAGAAATGTTATCATAAAGTGTATAAATTCTGTACAAAATTATATACAAGTTTAGCAGAAAATACTTTAATCGGTATTATTTGTACAGGTTCCGAATTTCAAAAACCATTATCTAAAAAACGTACACATACAAACATTTTAAAATCAGCTGCAGGTAATTTTTATATAACACTCAAATCGAATATTGTTATTCAAACTACAATTGTTGATGATAATAATTCTAAATGAAAGTACTTATTAATATTGGCTTTTGTTTTGTGTGTAAATTTTGAATTTCAACGACTCAATTTTTTGTTTATATCATAATAATTTCTTCCGAAACATAGAAGAAAAAAACACCATTTTCTTTGTATAAATTATGCATATTTCTGATGATGATGATGTAATTATCTACTAACAAAGAGATATACGATCGATTCTCACTTTTTCTCATTAACAAGTCAGTGCTTTGATGGTAAAGAAACGTCTACATCAATCAAAGAAATGAAAATTGATGATATCGCTGTATTTTTGTTGAATAAATAAACCAGCAACTAATCTTATATTGCACCTGTGATTAAAGGACTGTCTTTATTTCCCCGAATAATTATATCAGTCAGTCAAACGTTATATAGAACTTGTTACATATGTACATCGGTTCAAGTTGTTCCACCACATTAGTCCCGACCGTTGTTGCTACCTTGATGTAGTAGTCGGACTTGTTTATCGTGATGAAGCAACTGAGCTATACTGGCTGGAACAACCGTTCCTCAAAGTCCTACCATGCCAGACAGGTCGGTTGAAGAGCGGTAAGACTAAAAGCAACAAATCCAAGGTGCGAAGGCGAAGTCGTACTGCTGACTGTACAGAGGTGTGACAGCAGTAAGGTGTTTCCTTCTGACAACCAGCATAACAGCGATGCTGCCTTCCCACAAGGAGGGGTGGGGTTAGAAAAGGTCGACCCCAAAAATACACACTTCTCTTTATCACACGAATATCCATCTCCGGCGGTAAGGTCTCAACAAGTACGGAGCTAACACAAAAACTACTCATAAGAAGGTCGTGCGTGACCGACCTCAAGCAGCTGTCCCTTGGGCACTGCGGTCACGCTCTCAGGTCACTATGACCACCTCTAATTCAATTTCCTTTTCAGGTACCTCCAGAAGAACCCTTCCACGGTGTGGGCAACCAGGAAGTGATAACCGACCTCCCCTCAATCCCATTAGTACACCGAGATAAACTTGTCAGAACAAATACTAGATTAATAGGGGCAGTTGGAGTAATAGTGGTTATAGGAAAGATTAATTTATTGAAAATAAAATCAGAGAAGAAAATATGAATCAGTGAAATAATCGAACTCTTTCAGTATTTCGCTCGAAGCAAATATATATATATATATAATGATCCATGTTCTTTCATTGAATACCTAACAACATATAGTGTAATAATTTAACCTTTCCAGTTGTAGTAAACATGTTAATAGTATTGGTAACGAAAAGTAAAACCATTTAAGAATCCTACTATAAGAATGATTTTGTGTTTAGAAAACATGAATTTATTGTTTTTAATCATTAAACTCAATTAGACAAATTATATGAGGCTTTTTTTAATCTTAAGAAAATAACATGGTTTAAAACATTTTGTTTTTTACAACTTAGAGGAAATCATTTGATACTAGGGTTGTAACTAGATCTTTATCTACAGTATTTCTGAGTAATTCTGACTGGTGTGATACATTCGGTTATTTAATGCAGATGAAAGCGACTATGTGTGAATGACTTTAGTTATCATGTACAAGTTATAGAGGTTCTAGGTTGTCTTTTCCTCACATATGATTAACTGAAACATAAAAAATTATCTGATAGTCAATCTGAATGGGGGTAATTCCAAACATCGAACCGATTATGATAGTTTTATTAAGAAAGTTTCAGTATCCAAAAATCCCAATGTAAGTAAACTGATGAATACGTTGAAATGCTTGAAATTTGTACTGGAGAATCTAAAAATACGAACTGCTTAAATAAGAGACAGTGTGTTCTGTGTTTTTTCACTCACAAGTACGCTATCATCACCTTAAGGTTGTGGGGAAATAAGATCTTTTAAACCAGTTTATCGATTAATTAAAACCATTAGTGCAGATTTTAACTGGTTAACACTGCCTACTATAATGTCGCGATGATGAGATTTTTATGGAAAATACCTGTAAAAATATTTAGTCTTTCAGTTTTATTGCTGTTAAGATGTTATTAAGGATTAATGGGTGACATTCTGTTTGAGGATGAATAAACATTCGATTAACAAGTTATAACACGCAAAAACATCAATTCATTTTTGTATTGGTTGTATGGATCTTCCTATTGACTTTTAGGACTACAATTGATTAGTCCCTTGGCGTATGTACGTCCTGTGCAGGCTTCCTCAATGTTCCTATTAGGCTCTATAAGCAGAAATGGATAGTGGCTAGCAGTGGAATCCTCAACGTGCGTCTCGTCCTACTTGATACTCGTCAGTTAAATACACTTGCATCCCAGAGACTGTAACATTGTGGCGGGATCTGATCAATTGCAGCCAAAACATCCATAGAACGATTCATATAACCAATAAAAATGAATTAAAATTCACCCGATTATACAAGTAAATCGTTATTTGGAATCAGTAACTAATTTGATGACGTAATGGCGTTTTGAGCGAACAATAGTGGGCTCGAGCCCCGGACTAACAGTAGGATGTAAGCGTGTGCAGCTGAAAAGTTCCAGATGAGAAAATCGGCCAGTTTCTGAATGGGGAGAGTACAGAATACAATAAACCTGCTTGCTATCTTCGTGTTCTAATTAGTCATTGTGTGAACCAATGGGAATTAGGATTTCCAGTCGTTGTTCAAGGTCATTAGTCGTTAATCAGATTGGTGCACACGAATGGATCATCATTAGTCTTTTTGATCTAGTGGGAAAAATTCAGAATTTTAAAGGTCACAATAAATAAAGATTGAGTGTTTTATTTTTTTGCCATGAAAAAACTTATTTACAAGATAGATTAAAATACTCATGTTAACAATTTTGAAGTTCCTGGTGTATAACAGTTTATATGTTTACCTTCAACATGAAAATGATATGTGCTCGAAGTGGTAAGATTCTGAAGATTAATTTTATCCTCTATTGAACGTTTCCAACAAATTAACTTAATTTTGAAAAGAAAAAAAAGGAACAGCACAAATTTCAATAAACTGAAGTAATAGTAATTAACTACACATCGGAAATTTATATAAAGAAACGTTATTTTGTCTCTACATCAGACTGCTCTGTTTTAAAATTCAAAAGTTATGGTAAACTGTTGTTGGTTAATGAGCAGTCATATATATCGGCTCACATTGCCACATCCATTAGCAAAAAGAGATAGAAGTACCAGGGCAAATCCTATGTTAATAGAAGTGTGGTATATGCTACTTATGCTGACATAAGTAGTGTGTGACACCAATCAAAGGTGGAATGCCTGGCAGCAGAAGGTTGGGAAGATGGACTCGAAGAGAACAGAAACAGAGAGTAATTGTTATGGCAATGAAGGAACGATGAAGTTTGAGACCATCGATCGAGGATTTGCAAATGAAATATTTGATTCATTTATTTCATATTTTATTAAAGAACTCTGGGATTTAGTATTAAAATATATTTGTTGTCCCCACCTGCGATCTCCTTCACAACAGAGATGGTAGCATTATGAGTGGTGATTGAAAAAAATTAGGCACATACCATCCAAGGAAATATAAATTGAAGCTCTCTAACTACTGGTTACGATAATCACACGGACCCCAACCAGGTAGTCTACACCTGTTGGCATGGATCAGTTCCATTGTCAATAACATCGTGAACTGGTGCTATGTCTTCCTCTGGTAGATCCTAGCTTTTTCCAGCCTACTCTTATAACGGACAATATCTGCCGTCGAAGTAGGTGATGGCTGAGAATACGTGACACATGATGATTTATTACCTCATCGATAGATTTGCTATTCTTATCTAATGCCTTATTCCTAACCCAAGGATTGCTTGGTTTGAAGACACTTGTGACTGAATATTAGTAACATAAGGTGGTCAGAATACTCTGCATTTTATCAGCGCCTTTATCAAATAACCACATCATCTGCGTATTCTAGGTAGGAAAGTCAATCTCTTAGTAAAAGACTAACCCCTGAAAGTTCAGACGATGAGAATGGTATCTTTAAAAGAGAATCAATAACAAGGTTAACTAAAAATGGGGAAAGACAACCTTGACGAGCATCAATTTCAATAACAGTTCGTCATAAGCTCTGACTCGACCAGTAATGAGAATGGGATAAACAAAGCTAAAGAAAACTGTCTAATCAATTAGGAATCAGCATGCATAATGAGATCTCATCAGTCTTCAAATAGAAATAAAGAATAGTCACAGATGTCTGGTGATAAATTTTCTGAGTTATTTCGCGAACAAGGGATTATATATAAACATAGAAAATACTAAAGAGTTTACAAACAAGAAATTTACCTGACCATCAACCAATGATGTATAGCCTGTTAGTAATGGTTTACACTCTAGTATAATTGAAGCCCGTGATTTCCATAGAGCAACGAGATGTACCAAGGCAGGTTCATATTCTGATACAATTGAATCTTGGAAAAAATCCCCAGTATGTATTCCGATACAAACTAATATATTCGCTATATTGATGGCAGATTGTTGGTCACGTGAATGATAAAGCCAACTACATAAAAATTGTTCTAATTCACGTACAGTAACTCCTAGATCATATAAAGCTGATATATTGTCAATGAAAATACCAATATTTTGTTGTTGCACACCATTCGAAGGATTAGTTGTGTAACTATTCTTCAGAAATTCATCAGTCTAAAAATACGTAGTTTTTATGAAGAAAAGTATACAATCAGTACGTAATCTAAAGAGAGCAGATTTGCACTACAGCGAAAAAGTTTTTATTATCGTTATTTATGATAGTAGTGGTGTGACCTCCCTACCCCAATTCAATGACATGACGATCACGAATTTAATCCTATGCTTGTTAGTGCGTCCTACTGACGAGTTTCAATCCAGTAAGAAACAGCTATTTTCTAGTTCTTGGTGTGTTTACATTTGATATCGGTTTAAATTACGCAGAATATTCACAGAATTCATCTGTACCTTATCGTTTCAAAGACGGTGAGATAGTAGTTACGACACTTGATTTTCGATGTGTGAGTTCATATACCTCCTCACTTAATTGTATGAAGGCGATTGGGTAGTATCATTAGCACACATGCAAACAATGTGGAGTCACATTTTGAGATAGTGCAGAAGATTTGTAGTTGCGGAAGATTATATTAGTAGAAATGAGTTTTTGAGTTGAACAATTTGATTGTGAAATTTGTTATTGTCTTTTCAGACAACTTCAGATAGAAATAAGCTATTTGAACTTTACAACACATGACTAACATCATGTTTTATTAACATTAAATTCAAAAAGTTCAGTTCTATCTGAAGTTTAATACTGATAATGTTGTCTAGAAAAACAATAAACACTTTACAACTAAACTATAACAACTCAGAGAACGAAAATCCATTAACAGTTTCTATCTTAATAGTTGAAATCATGAGTCAATTGAAGCTAGACCACCATGGAAAACCTGGAAGCACTGGACGGCCGTTTCGTCCTAGTATGGGACTCCTCAGCAGCGCGCATTCACGATCCTGTCCCCCTGTGAGATTCAAACACAGGACCTATCAGTCTCGCGCGCGGCCGCTTAACCATTAGACCATTGAGACAGCCGGAATCCAACGGTGTTAATGTTTAACTTCAACCAATCCACGTAGTTGCGCCGCCGTACACCATTGTCTTTAGTGAGTTTCTATCTCACTTAATAATTTATTTAACATAAATAAAGGTCCATAATTACGTAATTCTTAAAGTAATACTTCTTTTTAAGAAAACATAATCAACAAATGCTCACTGGTGACTGGCTTCAAGAGGTATATCCTGGAGTTCTAGTGAGAAGTAGTGACCAGTGGAGTTCAACCGAGTCTTTTATGAGATAGTAACTCACTGATGACAATGGTGGATGTGTCGCTCAACCTCGTGGATTAGTTGAAATTAGAAATTAACACTGTTGGATGCCGGTTCAGTGGTCTAATGGTTAAGAGGTCGCGCGTGAGACTGATATGTCCTGTGTTCGAATCTTGCAGGAGAGGGTGGGATCTTGGATGCGCATTGCTGAGGAGTCTCATACTAGGATGAAACGGCCGTCCAGTGCTTTCAGGTTTTCCATGGTGGTCTAGCTTCAACTGACTCATAATCTTAACCATTGAAATTAATATATATATATATATATATATATATATATATATATATATATATATATATAATTACCTTGTCTTTGATATGATTCTTAATAACAGTTCCAATATTTTCATCAGTAATTAAATCTTTATCATTATTATCTAATTCAGAGTTTGAATTTGATTTGATTAGTAAATTTTCTAGTATTACTGTCATATCAATTATGGTTAAATTATTTTTCAATGTTATATTATTTGCATATAATGGATTTAATAATTTATGATAAATATTCCATGATTTATGAAAACAAAAAATTAAACATTTGGTTATGCTTTGATGCTGATTATCAGGAACTTTGTTATTATTATTATTACTATCAACGATATTTATGGTATTAGAAATAGGAGACTGATGAATTATTGTTGTAGCATAGTTTTGTAAAAATTGATTAATACATTCGATGAAGAATAATTCATGTACAGCATTTCCATGACTTAATAATAAGCATAATTTGTTGCTAATATGATTAATATTATCGTTGTTATAGACTGATGCTTTATGTAATTCAGTGTCATGAATTGAAGAATTAGGAGGAGGAAGAGGTGGGAATAATAAATTTCGTAAAATTTCTGAGAAATTCATGAATTACGACAAATGAGTCAATCTTATAATAACTGAAAGAGAAAGGGGAATTCTGTTTAGAAATAAATTAAATGGTTTAATTGAAAGGTAAAAATTGTACTTGATCTAGGGGGGTTTAAGCTTGTTGAAACTCATTACTCAAGTGTGTGTCTAATATCAAAACAATAAATTCTTTTTTCTATGAACATTAATTTTATATTACTGGAATATTAATTAGGCAACAGATGACTATCAATTTAAAAAAAAACCCACCTTCAGTATTAATGTGCAATTTATTATTGCTAAGTACAAAATTGAAATGTTCAGCTTCTAACTAAACTGTTTATGTGCAGTTAATACACAACACAAAAAGCGATTAATTAATTTCTAATGTGATTAAAACAAGAAAACATTGTATCTCTCAAATGAGATGTTTGTATAACACTAAAATTCTTTAGAATTAATCTCAGAATAAAAATAACTGTCAACCGGTTCAATGTGAGACTAATTTAATGATGAAACATATACATTAATAAATAATTTTCGTGAAGATTTCTACTTTTTAACTTTTACTCAATTAGTCCATCTTTCATTATTGATTTTTAAACAATTTACAGATGCCAATGCACTTTGTTGATTGAATATCGTCCGTTCACAGATACAGTGTGATTCCATACTCATTCAACCCTAGTTAACAGTGATATAAATGTTTCTTAACTAAGTAATGACTAAGCCTGTTGTGTAGTTGTTTCATGTGATGTTTCAATGTACCTTGAATATATAGCTTTGGAATATTTACATGTACACGTAATGTACACAAAACGCATTGTTTTCGACCCTTTCAATACACATACAGTTCTCAAAAATAAATCGTTGAAAATATTTCCTGTGAAACCTTTTGATAATGTTCACATGTGGCAATGAATGAAGCTTTGCGGAAGACCATAGATTGACTGAATTGAAACATTAAGAGTTGGATGCCAACTCAGTAGTCTAGAAGTTGACATGGTAGGATGAAAAGGTAAAATTACACTTTTAGCATATTGTGATAATTGTTCAACATTATTTTGTTTTTTTTTTAAAGAAATTCAATACGGTGAATACTCAGTGTATTATTTTGCAGTGTGATGTGTCATTCAATATATAACATTGTTTGTATTAAATTAAAGTGAACTTTAGTTCATTATAACATGGAGCATGTGACTTAGTTACAATTCTGGACATTTTTTATATACATTACTTTTAAGTAATTTATTAACCAAATAGGTGTAAAAATAAATACTTTGGTTTATAGTAGTAATAGTGAGGTTAAACGCAGGATATTAGAAAATCGTGGCAAATCAGTTGATGAAGTTGTGAATCTACATCGACTGAAATGGTTGGTCCACGTATTACGCATGCTTAACAACCGATTACCACAGCGCACAATGCTGACCACAGTGTATTTTCAACTGGGGTTGTCGTGTTTTCACTTGTATCAGTCTTCTGTGTTTTAACTTAGTGTCGTGGGAATTGTAGTTCTTCACTTTTAAGTATAAGTGACGAGGATACAACAGAGATTAAGCGTTTACGCACGAGACTCACAGTCCTGGGTTCAACTCTTAAGTGGGGAATCGTCGATGTGCAATGATGAGAAGTCCTACGCCAAGACGAAACAGTCATCTAGAGCTTCTAGTTTTCCAATAATGATCTAGCTTAGATCAGCTCGTGATTTCAATTGCGGAACTACAAAATTATACTTTACAAACATACAGAATGTAACATATAGAAATATATCTTAAACAGAAACAGATAGAAATCATGTTCTTGAATATAATGTATTGTATTTTATTTCTTTCTCTATATACACATATAGAATATTGTTATGCAAATGTATTAATATAACATTGATATGCTACGAACATAGAAACTATGAAAACTAACATGAAAATGAAACAAACTATAAGAAAAAGTGGAATAATTGTACATTAACACAAAGAAGAAAAAGGTGAAAAGTAATAAGATAGTAGTTGACTATTGCGATGTTTACACTGTATGAACAATAGTTTTTGCTGTTATTTAAAAATATTCAATAAAATAAAGAACAAGAAATTAGATTCAAATAGATTGTTTCATCATTTTATTACTATGTACAGTGATTTTCTGTTTTGTTATTAACATAGGAAACCAATGAATAATAGTTAATCCAATAAATAAATAAACTCCTGGTAAATAAATCAAACTGATAATTAATTGTGTTTGATATGAACCAATATGTAAAATAATACGTGTAGAAATCATTTGAGAGCTTGTTAATATTGGATAATTAACAATGAAATAACCATTGGTTGAATCAATCACTGACAGATATAATTCATTATGATATGAATTTAATGGTAAACTATGTTGAATAGACAATGAACCAATGAAACAATAACAATGATGATGACATGTCATATTTGTGGTTATATATGCATTTGACCATTCCGATATTGGTACACCAAATGATGTTAATAACTAAATGAATAAGTAGTATTTACAGTATTAATAATAATAATGATAATAATAATAATGGTAATAATAATAATAATAATAAATTTACTTGGTATTGTTTTGCTTGTATCTTCCCATTGAGGTTTAAGACTGCAATTGATCAGTCTGTTATTGGCATATGTGCATACTGTGCGTATGCTTCGATATTGCCTTAATTCACAAGCTTTTATAAACAAAGATTGATAGTGGCTAGCAGTGGAATTCAGGACGCGCGTTTCGCCCTATTTGGAACTCGTCAGCTGAATGTACCTGCATCTCAGAGTTGATTTTCACTCTAGGACTCGAACTCAGTACCATTCGCTTCAAACGCCATCGCGTTATATGATAATAATAATAACAGTAATGGTAGTAGTAATAATAATGGTGATAATAGTACTAATAATGATAGTTATAGTAATAACAACAATAATAATAGTAATAGTAGCGATAATAATGGTGAAATAGTAATAATAACAACAACAATACTAATAATAGTGATGATAACAATGATAAGCGTAAACAAAAATCTAAAGAAAAAAGGCATGGATATGAATATCAAAGCTTAGAATGATAATATATGTTATACTAGGTCTGCTACCTGGTAAAATTCATTTGTTAAATAATGACTTATTAATATATAAACCATAGTCACTGGTACTTATGTGAACAGAGAAACATAGAAGCTGTGACAAACAACAGAAGCTATTTTGGTAACGTTATATTACTTAGTTCAAAACACTAACATTTAGTTTTGTCCCTACTTGACTCTACAAACCATAAGCTTTCGTGTGATGTATGATTCACTGCCATACTCTTTTCTGTTCCAAAGCTATTGTAATTTAAACGCAAACTTTGGCACTTCATTTTTCTGCCCTAATGCCTAGTTTGGGACATAAGTGTATTTTCCTAATTGTTTGTGCATTGTAGTTGTGTTACTCATGTATTTCTTCAAGTATCTTTTTGAACTAATCTGAATCAGAATGTGAATCGCAGTTGGAGTCGGGAATAGATAGAGTAATGTTCCAGTTGACTCGTCTTTTCCCACTTGCGCTTGTCAACCAATAAGGTGATAGAATCGTTTTCGTCTGTCTACACAAGACGTTTAGTCTCAATTCGGAATCACACACTTCTAGCTTCAAGGTTGAACCAGCTAGCCTATTGTGTCAAGGCCTTAATTTAGATCGAGACAAGTTCGCTCCTGTATATAATTAGGTAGGTGGATCAAGGACGTAACAGGTACATCGTTCACTTATCAAATATTCGATGAGTATACTGAACGGTAGTTAACTGTTATATCTGTGATACATTCCGATTAAAGATAGATATTAATAGGTTGTTAGTATTTTATTATAGATACATTGATAGCATCGTTCATATATGCAAAAACCATCGAGTAAGCAGTACTAAGGGTTAGATATAGTTATATGTTGCGTGATATTGAACTGTAATTGGTTGGTAAGTGAAGACCAGCAAATACTAGTTAGATAGATTATTATTATGTGTAGAAGACTGATTTCATTATAATAATTCTGTTCAAATTTCACATACTATTTGATCGCCTATCGTCTATCTCTTGTCTTTTCTATTGCAGTTGATATCACCTTACTGCTACTAAACACAATTCTCCAGGTTTGATGTTGCTCATAACTGAGACTAGACTAATAAATAAACAAAAAAATTTCCTAAATAACTTACTCTGACTAAAAATCGTTTTGCTAATCTGGATTCATTAAATAATGTTAAATGATATGAACAATCTCTGATTAAATAATTTAAAATTCTTTTATTATCATCAAGAATAATAGAATCAACTGGTTCAAAATGATCATTAACGAATTGAACACTGATCTAAAAAATTTGGGAAGAATAAAACAAACAAATATTACTTATCAGTATAGGGGCTGTGGAGATTATTAAGTTTTTGATTGAGATCATGAGCCGATTGATGTTAGACCACCATCGAAAACTTAGAAGCACTGGACGGCCGTTTCGTCCTAGTATGGGACTCCTCAGCAGTGCGCATCCACGATCCCGCTTGCGGGATTCGAACCCAAGGCCCTCAGGCTCGCACACGAACGCTTAACCTATTAGACCACTGAGCCGGCATCCCGCAAGCGGGATCGTAGATGCGCATTGCTGAGGGGTCCCATACTAGGACGAAGCGGCCGTCCAGTGCTTCCAAGTTTTCGATAGTGTCTTAAAATCAATCGGTTCATGATCTCAATCAAAAAAATTACTTAATTGTAATATACATATATTGAATGATTAAGCATAGTCCACAAGAAACTATGGATATAGATATGGTATATACTGATATTGTATTAGTTGGTATTCATAGTGCATGCTACTTATTCTGGCAGACATATGTAGTATGTAACAGGAATTAAAATGCTTGTCAAAAGAAGATTGGATTGAAGAGAACAGGAAGAGGAACAAAGAGCATTTGGAGTAATAACAGAAATGGAATAATCATGGAGTATGTAAAAGAGAACCGAAGAAAGATATTCAAATGATGAATTTGGTATCTGGTTTTCATAATTTATGAATGCACTCTGTAATGTTGTACTAAACAAATAATTTGTTCTCCCCACCAAGTCTTCATTCATGATAGGTATATCAGTAGCTCTTAAGGTAGCTGTTGGCTTCCTGATTGACTCAATTTCGAGTCACTTCGTTTTATATTCTGGAATGCTGACGCTGAGTTATTCAGACAGTAGATGACATTCTTAGGAGTGAGATACTTAGGATTAACTATTCACTGAATAGTGATAAATATCATAATTGTTTAGTTCATTAGCATTCATCAAATTGAATTGATTTACCGAGTCTATCAGGTAGCACACGTTCTTTCTTTCAAGATTGTAAACACCTAATGTTCCATCCAAATAGTAAATGCTGGGGATTATTTATGGACTATTATTATATAAATATTGATCGAATGACAATTATATAACTAAATATGTATATTCGTATTCCTCTTATTATAACCACTCGCCTCCGTGGCGCAACCGGTTAGCGCGTTCGGCTGTTAACCGAAAGGTTGGTGGTTCGAGCCCACCCGAGGGCGGTCCGCACTTTGCGCCCAAATGCCCTGGTATGGCCGAGAGCGGGGAGGGTTCACCCTCTCTCTCGAAATACTCTCACACGGCCACGCGTATATAGCCTCTGCCAGGGAAGTCCTACTCACTGCCTTCACGTGGCACAGGTGTTGTTTACGAAAATGAGAGGACGAAAAGCAAACGTCCGGCGCTATAACCGGATCCCAATTCTATGGTGAACATGGGCTCCAGTATCCTGAAGGAACAAATGGCGCATGAACCAACTTTTGGTCACCGGCTTACATGGGACTGCATCTCCTCACGATGCTCCACTGCCTTGTGGGTCAGACCTTCAGGTCGAAGGCTCGGGGTGTGGCCCCCTAAGAAAACCACCTGCTTCGGTTTGGGCACCCGTGCAGTATCTCAGCCCACACACTAAAACCATGATGAACTATCTGCTTATAGAAAATATTCGTTTCTCTCCGACTAACATTGAAATGACTGGTATTATTACTATTATTATTATTATTATCATTATTATTATTATTATTTACTACGTCATTTATTCACTATCTCCTATTTCTACTTTTTGTATCCGTTTCGACTCAGACAGCAGCTCGCCTATGGTGAAAATTCAGTTTTATCTAAACGTTCTCGAGTCACTGCCTGGTTGAAAATTGTATGTTACTACCGAATATGAGTACTGAAGCAGTTTTTCTGAAACCACGTGCACCATTCAAACTGGCTGTCTTCAACGTTCGCACACTTATGCAGGTCGGACAACAGATAGGGCTGGCTATGTATTTGGAAAGTCTTAATATTGATGTGTGTTGTCTATCCGAGACCCGTATTCAAGACTCGGGTGAAGTACTACAAGTTCGCTCTCCATCTGTCGCTTCAAAAAGCTTGTTTTACGTGCGTTTATCCGGGGACCCTGTAGCATCTTCGTCTGGTCTTGCTGGCGTTGGTGTTGCACTAAACACTAGAGCTGAGGCAGCACTAGTCGACTGGATCCCCATTAACAGTCGGTTATGTGCTGTTAGATTAGAAAGTTCCATCAAAGTGAGAAGAAATCGGCGTGAGAAACGATGTCTTTTCGTCATCTCCGCCTATGCCCCGACAGATTGCAGCCCGGATGCAATCAAGGATGAGTTCTACCACCAGCTAACTGTTCTTCTCCAGAAAGTGCGTTCGACAGATATTGTAGTACTAGCTGGAGACTTGAATGCTCAGGTCGGGCGTCTAGGCACAGAAGAGAGTCGTTTAGGTGGCCAATGTGGACTCGTTGGTCGCAGGACAGATAACGGGGAATGTCTACTGCAACTATGCGGATGATATTGTCTTACTGTGCGAGAATGCCCAAGCCATGCAATCCGCACTTAATCAGTTGGCAATCAGTGTCCGTAGGTATGGTATGTGCTTCGCACCTTCAAAGTGCAAAGTACTTCTACAAGACTGGCAGGATTCTAATCCTGTACTCACTCTGGATGGTGAGCAGATAGAAGTGGTCGAGAAGTTCGTGTATCTAGGTAGCTGCGTAAGTGCTGGTGGTGGCGTGAGTGATGAGATCAATGCACGTATAGTGAAAGCCAGAGCGGCTTATACCAATCTGGGCCACCTTTGCCGCCTTCGTGATGTTAGTCTGGCTGTAAAAGGTCGGATCTACAACGCGACAGTGAGAGCAGTTTTGCTCTATGCTTGTGAAACCTGGCCTCTCCGAGTTGAGGATGTTACACGACTCTCTGTGTTCGATCATCGTTGTCTCCGAAGGATTGCTGGCATCCAGTGGCAACACCATGTCAGTAATGCAGAGGTTCGGCATCGAGTGTTCGGTCACAGAGACGATAATGAAATCGGTGTCACCATCTTGAAACACCGACTTCGGTGGCTTGGACATGTTCTACGAATGTCGTCCCAGAGAATTCCTCGTCGTGCATTATTTGCCGACTCTGGGACTGGTTGGAAAAAGCGGAGAGGTGGTCAGTATATGACATGGTGTCGTGGTATGAAAGAAAGCTGCAAAGGGCTAGCTTCTGTTGGTCCTTCACGACTCCCTGGTTGGGGTCCTAGAGACGGTGTAACGCAGTGGCTAGAGACGTTATCAGATATGGCTCAGAATAGAAGCCAGTGGCGATCCTGCTGTAACCTTCTTTTACTTTCTTCATAAAAAGTGGTTGTATCTTCCTTAACTGAAAGATCTCTTCTGATTGTACCTTTCCGTATCCCCCACCATTGTTCTCTCTCTTTTTTTATCATTCCCCACGTTCATTACTTTTTTTTCTCTTTTCTCCTTCTCTTCAAATTGTCATTGTTTTGTGTGGCGCATATATATTTGGTGCCCCCCTGTACCAATATTTATGTGTTCAAATAATAATAATAATAATCTTATTATAAGCTTTCATTTAACTTATTGGCTACTATTATACAATTTACTATTATTTCCAATCTATTAGTTACAGTCTCCCACACTTAGACACTGGCTTGATCTTGTATAAACATTATTTTTCATTTTATAGTATAATGCGGTCTGGTCTGTTTGTACATAAACCACTTATGTCTGAAATATACGTTTCATACAGTAGAGGTTAATATTTGTGTTCTGGACTTAACGGTCGGGGCTAGGTGAGAAAAACTAATAAGGACTCAGAATTGATTCTAGGCTGCTGGTGCTGGTTAACGCATCATTGGTTTTTAGCACAGAGACTAGGTCATATAAGTCGGGGTTCTGATTGGCGATTTTGTCACGTGATAATTGACAGGGCCATAACACTTAACCGAAACAAATTTATTAAGAATATTAAAATAAGTTTTTTACATAGAGAAAATATTGAAAAGTAAAAGATATTGAACTTACAAATTGAGTAATGGACTTGTCAAAATCGTCTAAAATAAAATGTGATATTATTATTTATTTTTTAGGTTTCATCATAGGAAATCAATATAAATAAATACAGATCATATATTGTTTATGTGCTAGATGTTATGTGAAACTTCATTGAGAAAAAAGCCAACAGGACTGTACTACGGAGTACGTATTACTGATTATTAAACTGTACGTCAAGTACCTAGTCTATTGATTTTAAGCTCATAATCAAGATAATTTTCACCAATAAACCTCACTACTGGAGGAAATGCCAAACAGGTTTGAAACCACGTTGGTCGATAGCTGTTAAACAGCACAGAAATGGTAAATATGTCGCTAAATATCTATCAATCTAAACAACATTGGAACACTTTAACAAAGTTAAGAAGAGGTGATGCTTTGATTATAATCAAGTCAGATGACAAAAAGGGTGTACTTTGAATGAGTGAAACAGAATAAATTGATAAAATCAATTTGATACTGTTGGGGAGCTGACTAGTTCTTTTACAGAACTAATATGAAAAGGCGATAATTTCATATGAACTACACAATTTAATTAAACCGACTAAATTAGATACACCACAACTCTACAGTCTATTCAAAGTTCATAAGTCGAATCTTACTATCCGCTCAGTTTTAGATATCTTATATTTATAATAATGAATGTGAGTTTGGATTGAACTACGACTTATTGTAAAATTATCTACTATTTCTATATTTTTGTACCTAAATATTTACGAGCACCAAAGACTGTTTTTTGACTTAACCACAACCTTAGGAGCGTTATTTCAGTGAATTCGACAGGTGATAAACACGTAACTGTGTGTTTTATTACATTTTCTTTTTAGAATAACTCGCGAAACATAAACACGGTGTGAGAGATTTTACACTGTCTGCAACAACATAAGGGTAAAAGCAGGATCCTAAAAAGTAATGCAGAGAGCACCAACCCAATCATAAATGATGGAAAAGCACTGGATGAGATGGAAACTGTTAAGTATCTGGTAAGCATCACCGATGAACAAGGAGGATCTGATGCAGTTGTAAAGGCAGGAATTGGGAAGACAAGGGCGGCACTCTTACAATAGAAGAATATATGGAACTCAAAAGGACTGTCAGTCAACATCAAAGTCAGAATGTTCAATACAGACATTAAGACAGTTCTATTGTACGTAGCTGAAACTTGGAGAACTACTATTACCATGATCAGGTATTTATAAACAATTATCTACATAAGATACTCAATATCAGTTTGCCGGACACCATTAGCAACAACCTATCGTAGCAGAGAACAAACCAGCTTCCGGTTGAAGAGGAAATTAGGGAAAAACATCGGGGATGAATAGGAAACACATTGAGGGAATTAATAAAATCTATCACGAGGCAAACCCTAACTTGAAATCTTCAAGGGAAAAGGAAAAGAGGCAGACCAAAGAACACATTGCACTTAAAATTGGAGGCAGACATCAAAAGAATGAATAGCACTTGGGACTAACTGGAAGGAAGAGCCTAGAACATAGTTGGTTGAAGATTCCTGGCGGTGCCCTATGCTCTACGAGGGATAACAGGCGTATGTAAGTAACAGCTTTGTGTTAACTACGGAAATATACTAGAGAAAAGCCTGTAAACTTGTAAATCGTGTATTTTACCATCTACAATCAACTTACCAATATACTTAGGATAAGTCAGTAATGATGTTGAACTAGACTGAACAATCGGAGATGATCTACTCCTCAGTAACATTAAACCATGATTCGACAATAAGAGATATGAAGGTGACGTCGATACTCCAGCTGGTACCGGTAAAGGTTTTGGAGATAATGAAATTGTCTGCAATGAATTAGTTTGATGATCGAACATGCTATCATGGTTATATGATATTATCACCAAAGGATTATGTAATCGCAAATGAATCAAACTTGTATAAACATCAGTAAAAACCTAAATGATGCAATAATTGATAGAACGATACTTCTTATTAAATTTGTACAACAAATAATAATAACAGTGACGACAATACATTTTGAAAATTAGTACAAAATGTATTAAGTCAGTCAAAAATCACTTTATTTTAATCTTAGAGTTGATATAAAAATATCCTTATCTCCTAATATTTCTCTGTATTGTCCTAAATAACATAAGAGAATCCAGAGATATATACTGATAGGTTTTGCAATTTGCATTCAATGCTGAATCCGGTGTTCATCTCCCTGTGCTAATGAGGTGTGGCAACTTAGACCGATGCATATATGTGCCTGGTCCTATGTTGCAGCTGACTAATTGAATGCTGAGCGTTGACCGATATATATATACTATGATGCACACTTGTCTTTCTTATGACTGAAAAAAACTATGTTGAAATTCTTATTTATTTTCACTTCTTTTATTCATCTGTATTCTGTGCAAGGAAGCCGTCAAATTATGATCTTGACAAACAACTTTCTTGTTAAATGGTAGTTTTGACATGTAAGGAAGTCCTTGACAACTTTTTCGCAATTCATATTTCCCTATTGGCTTTTACTGTCGTCTGATTGGTTGTTTACACTTTTAGTTTGCTAAATTTTCTGTTTCAAGGTTTTATTTGTTGTTAGATAAACAAAGTTGTTCTATTACAATTTTGACATCCATTAGGGATATTAGAGCTTCCCAGAAAGTCTCGACTTTTCTCGCTCTCTTCTCCCTTTTATAAGCGCATGGATTATTAACGTTCAGGTGTGGTGTATTAGTCGTATGATAAATGTAGTTTGCGTCGATTCAATTTTATATTAAAAGAATCTCTAAACCATTCGTACTTCGAAATTATCTTAGGCAATTTTCAGACCAAGATATTCTGGAACTATACCCACAATAACGTAAAGGTCAAACTCACCAACCAGTATGTGTAATCCTCTCTTTGATATAATAATCCAGACCCTATGGAAAGATTTGTAACATTATGATGCATAGTAAACAAACTAACAGGATATCCTGGAGCCGATAATCCGGTCTGAATGTCGACAGCATGTGCATAACTGTGGGGAAAAAATACGAAAAAACTTATGAATAACACATCTAGGGATAATCAATAACGAACATTATCGACTCTATTTACATATTATGATCACTGATTTAAGTGACACAAAACAGATCCTGTGTTTTTTATATTATGATCCTGAAAGCTTCAGATAAGAAACTCAACAACTAGCCAGACCTATAGCAAATGCTACGTCATATGGAGTGACTCGGCTTAGTGACTGAATTGTAAACGCTACGATACGACTCAAATATCACTGGGAACTAGATAATTTGACATTAATCAATACACAATGACCGAATGAAATGATCAGTACTACCGTAAAGTGGACATCAAACATCACTTGAATACTTCAGTGGTAATGCTACATGTTGTAGTGTAAAGAAATGATCAGTTCACAGTACTAGCATTAGATAATGGATCAAAACAGTTGATCACAGGATAATATATCATCATTTAAGTATGCGACGATTCATTCGAAAATCAGTTTAAACCATAACAAGAGTTTATTGAAATAATTACAGAGCGTGCGATGAGTAGAATGAGGTGACGATGTCTTTTTTTCGCGTACAGAATGATTTCTTACCGACTTTCGCCTCAAGTTTGTTTTTCTACAGTGAAATAACACACATGTCACACTAAACCTTCACAGGTGATTGTTCAATCAGAAATGACTTACCATCCATTTTTTCTACCATGACATTCTGTGCATATGATTTAACTTTCTACTCATAAAACAGTGTAGGATTTTTCCATGGAAGTATCATTAACATATTGATATTACTGATCTTAACATTTCTTGATGATCCGCCAAGCAAACTAATTTTTTGCTCTAAAACTAACTAAAATGATACATTTCACACAAGCACTGATTGGGTTTAGAGATTTCTAAAAATATTCACAGTTATAGCCTGATTCAACTAACTGACTAGTTTAGCCTAAGTGATTAGTGATTCTGGTAGAAATCCTAAAACCTTCCAAAGGTAAATAGATTGAACATCAAATTCAGTCAGGCATAACACAGAGTACGGCACAGATATGTATCAGGTTTAAACGATAATCTAAATCACTGATATACAGGACAAGAACACATGTATCACATGCCTGTTTACATGCCATCTCAAAGTTAAATGATAGGTGAGACATTATAAACGAGGCACTGGGATTAGAGGAGGCCAATTATACATCGACTCAAAGTTTTACTTTACGTGTCCTTGTTTGGATCAAAAGGGCAAACGTATGTATACCTGTGACTTGTGTACATTATAGTTCAGTTCGACCATTAAAACGCTACCATTCCTTTTAATCGCCTCCTCTGCATAATGGATTTCAGCCAGTCAAACACAATGTAGAACCTGGAAAATGTGTGCATCGATTTAGGTTACCACAATCCATTAGTATAGTGAGATGAAATTGTCGGAGCAAATACCAGGATAATAGATGCAATAAGAGTATTAGTAGTAATAGAAGATTAATTTATTGAAGATACGATCAGAGAATAAAATATGAATCAAAGAAATAAAACTTGAGAAAAATTTATAAAATAATCTTGAAACTAGTAACTTAAGGGAAAAGAGTGAATACATCTAATACACTATTACGAACGACTTTGAGCCACACCACTCAAAGTCTCTAACTATTGGTCATGGTAGATTTGATGTATATCGTAGAAAGTCCATAAGTGAATCCGATTGTATAACAACATATCAATCACTACAGTATGAAGAAATTCACAAGATAAAAAGTAAAGTAATTAACAATATAAACTGCATTGGGAACTACACTAAACACAAATACATAACATTCAAAAAGGATAAACAACGATGGAAAATGATAAGTATGAATGGATTAGAGCACCATACGTACTGCGACTACTTTGATATCAGGTCATCAAAGGTAAATAGACTTCTATAATTATGGTGAACTTTAAACTATAAATTTACACTATGCGATATGGTTAAAATGAATCCGTTTCCATTTGATTTTTCTACTTTAAACGATAAGATGAAATGGAGACTTTAAATTCAAGTATAAGTGATGAATATTATCGTAAATATTGTTAAAGACAAAAAACACTTACCCATCAGGTGTTGTGTAAACAGACCATGGTGAACAAGTTTGTAACTTTTGACATCCAGGAACAATTACCACTTGACCAGTTTGTTCTCCATACTCCAATGTAGTCGTAGTAGTATTAGAGGTAGCGGGGCAATATGTCCAATAAATTTGAGAATGATATTTTTTAGTTGATACAAGAAGAACAAGACGTAAACAAGAATAAATATCCACTTGTAGACAACAAGTAAGTACACTAGATTGCAATATGTTCGATTTCATTTTATTTAATGGACACGGAGATGGTACACACTGTGAAAATTAAGGAATATTATGCAACTTTAATTTAGTAAAGGTATATAATACTATATATATAGCACTACACACGACAATAATTCCTAGTTACACATTGATTTTCCAAAACGGACATAACTATGTAGATTACATGCAAAGTGATTTGATGCTCTAGGAAGTTTATTCTGTATAGGAACTAATTATTATTACCAATCCTTTGCATTCAACTATCTCTACCTTGACAACAGGTACCCTTTAATTGTAAACATTGTTAAAGTTTCTAAGTTAAACAATCTGATATGTTTCCCATCTAGTAGGCTGAGACTAGAACATCGATATTCTGATTATAAGCGACTAATATCTTTCACCGTTATATAACAACATTTTAGCCATATTCACACAGATGGATGTAATAGAGAAAGTATTTATTTTAACACATAGATATTGGTACAAGGAGACACCAAATACATATGCGCCACACAAATCTCATTTAATTTGTGAGGGCTGTGATACTGCTCGGGTGCCCAAACCGAAGCAGGTGGTTTTCTTAGGGGGCCACACCCCGAGCCTTCGACCTGAACGTCTGACCCACAAGGCAGTGGAGCATCGTAAGGAGATGCAGTCCCATGGTAGCCGGTGACCAAAGATCGGTTCATACGCCATTCGTCCCCTCAGGATACTGGAGCCCATGTGCACCATTGGTTTGGGGTCCGGTTAAAGCGCCGGACATTCGCTTTTCGTCCTCTCATTTTCGTAAACAACACCTGTGCCACGTGAAGGCAGTGAGTAGGACTTCCCTGGCAGGGGCTATGTACGCGTGGCCATGTGAGAGCATTTCGAGAGGGAGAGCGGACTCTCCCCACTCTCGGCCGTACCAGGGTGTTTGGGGGCGATAGAGAAAGTATTATGATATTTTAAAAAGTAACTTACACTATCTCCAGAGTATGAAAATTATAGTACAACTGCTAAACATACTTTTAGAATTAATATCGCAAACTGATCTTAGTTGGACTACTACTAAAAACCAGGAAGCACTGAGTAGATGTTTCATCCCAGTAAGGACTTCCACTGCGCACTCACTGGAACGGGACGTTTTTACGTTTTTTGGGTGGGATTGATAAGCCACTAAACCAAACGGAGAATCTTGTCTGATATTTGATCTGTTTGGTCCACTGGGTTTTATTTCCTCAGCTCACCCTCCTTCAAACACCTCTTACAAAAAAATATGACAGGCACAGATGGAGTGGGGTCAACCGTTTAGCAGTTCAGACCCATATATAAGGCAAGAGTGCGTTGGGTTTATGCAACTCTTAAGTCAACTTGCAGTAGTAAGAGGTATCGGAAGAAAGTACTGAAGATGAAAAAGTGTATACTTACATCTGTTCAGTGATGTTTCAGAGGTGGTGGCTACGATGAGGCTGTGTTTGTGCATGGGTAAGCTTCCAACAGCAATCTCCACATTGCACGTTGATCCATGGTAAGCATAAAGTAGCATACATCAAGGAAACTACTATACCGAAGCCTGAGTTAGCAACCCCAGTCCTAAGTGTAAGAACGAATAAAATTTGGACAAAAGTGTGTGTAGATGAGAGAACCACTAGTCATACAGAACTGTTGGAATCTTCAAAGTTCTGGTTCTTACAATTATTTCAGTGTATCATTTAATTTTTAATATGACAAATATTAAGTACGACATCCTCCATCACTCATCAAATTTATTTTAAACGCAATCATAGCAATTAAATGAAAAACACGTGTACAAGACTTACTGATAAGGTCATTGGAGTGATACGGAAAGAATAAGAATCAATAAAAATGTTATTGACCTCTAACGAAAGTTGACTAACATGACTATTTAACATTGTTAATTGAACCACATGTATATTTCCACTGAATGTAGTAATAAAACTATAATAACTATCAACGTATGAACGATCTTTGACTCGAGTCTCTTCTAAAACATTGGCATTTATAATAGGCGATGAGAAAATATACGGTGGTAATTTAACAGATAACTAGAACATAGTTAGAAGGAAAGCAAATGGAAAAAAAGATGAACAGAATTACACAATTGTTAATCAAATATAAAATCTTTAGGAAACAAACGAAATATCCAACATAAAAGGGTACTATGTAAAAGTGAAAAATCGATTGATTAGGTTGTAAATGTTCATCGACCGAAGTGATCACGGCATGTGCTATGTATACCTAACCACCGACCAAATTAATGGGTGGCATTTGCTGGTTTATAAGTTGGAAGTATGATAGGAGTAACAAGATCAAGACAGAGAACCATTCTACAAAGAGATTGACTGTTATACTTAGTCGCGTTGATATATCTCGACTACCGGGTGGCATTTGTAGACTGACATCAATAACTGGAGACACTGGTGACATAATTCAGAATTGGCTGCAGTGCAGCAAACATATCCACTTTTTATTTTACTGTTGATCTTGGTTTCCAGTAATTATTTATCCTCACCTTCACATCTTGTCTTTTGAACTTTATTTTCAATGTTCACTCGTTCTCATTATGATATATATATAAAGTTAATCACATACTAGAGATGCTTAGTTAACAAAATATAATGATCAGAAGGATTAAAATCCATTCTGAACGATAATAACTTACCCAGTCAACTTCTAATACTTTAAGACGTGGTGAACATAACTTGACATCTTCGTTCTTTAAAGAAAATAAAGCGCAACGTGGTATATTCACGATTGCCGCTACCAGTACACTATCATCTGAAGATGACTCATTCAACGACGCTGTTGTGGTATAAGAATGATAATTAACGAAATTCAAAGTAATATGTAAAAGATCAGTATACAAGAAATTTATGTCATTTACATTGGATCGACTAATCACTGAAGTTAAAATAATTGGATCTGTATAAACTATGGGATGTAGGCGGATATCCTAAAGACACATAAGAAAATACATAGATAAATAGTCTTATAAATAAAAATGCAATTTTAAAGCTTTTATGTCAAACAAAAAATAACTAGAATTTTTACAAAGCTAAAGGATTTCTTATAAATTATCGAACAAATGTAATCCACAGTATGGGACCCCCTGGACGGAACAGTGATGTGTTGGAAAATGTGTCTAGTTAGTGGGACAAGAAATAGACATCCGAGGATGCTAAATATAATAGATTATATTGTAGTGTTAATTCACTTTGTCTGGACCTCATTCTGTGTTAACTGATTGTATTCATGTTAATATACCATTATTTTGGCTCACAATCTGACTCCTAATGGTTTATTGGGGTAGTGTATTTGTGTATCAACCAAATGATCTAATCTAACGGTGTAGTTTTCTACAGTATTATCAAGTGTCACTAAATTCTATTTTCCACCTTTGTATCAGATGTTTTGATAGTGACATTTCAATGTTTGTTCTGTACAACATAAGTGCCTACTTCAAACAGAAATGAACTTCTTAAAATTATTTCTCAAACATTGAATAATCACTTCGTTCCAATTAGCTCACATGTGACTACTTGTGTTCACACAAATTTTTTATATTTATATAACCATATTTCGCTTAGTTAACCCCTAACCATGTGACTGATAAACTTTTTTCGCATGGTTTTGATTTATATCGATACACTCGTTGAATACAAATTGGACTGAACATCGTTTTTCGAAAAATTCTTTGGTACATTTGGAATTTCCTTAATCCTGGATTTTAACATTTTCCTAAACAAATTTGTGTTCATAGTTGTTTAAATGCATTGATAAAAGTTCTGGCATATTGTGTCGCACCACTGTTAATAAGATTTCGTATGTACGTAGTTAAAGAAGGCGTTCGCTTTATTTAGGGTCAGGGACCCAAGAACACATGAAGATAGCAAAACCAAGGTAGACAACCAGTCACAAACGAGGTTATCGGAACGAAATGATTCACCAATTGTGGAATTAAATTTTCTGCTTACAGTAAGAGTTGTTGTCGTTCGGAAAAACCATAAAACTATTTAGCTCAAAGAACATAGCCCAACCAAAACCATCCATCTGAACAAAAAACTTTTTCCATCATTTCAAAATCAGCGATACACCTCAGTAATGAATTAAACTCTTTAGCCTTGACTCATCTTCAGTGTATCCGGATATACCTGAGTTAGTACGGTTATCTAGACCGACTTGTTAGCTAGTTTAAAATTTCCATGAGTTTAAGAAGACATAAACCTGGCTTAGTAAATATGGTAAATAACCTAAGGTGGATGATCATTAAACTAGCGAAACTTAATCCCAACATGTATTTTTTTCTGGAAATCATCAAGATGTAGTCGATCGTAATGGGTCGTGGAGCTTTATTTGGTTGGTGCAGATTACCTGATTACGGTTAAGGTAATAACTGTAAACGATTATTGGAGGTAATGGGTAAAATGGCTTAAAATATTTCGTAGTGATCCAAGTAAATTGTTTATTTATTTTTTGATAGACTTTGTGTTCCAGTATTTGTTCATGAATGCCTTTTCATTCCGTATTTCCGAACCACGTTCTCAATGTCCAGTCTTTCTCATTATGATCGTCACTGGATTATCTCGATTCCTCTGCTATACATCTTGTTAGCTTCGTTTAGTCGTCATGCCGTTGTAAAAAAGTTTGAGTCGACATATATTTGTCCCAAGACCTACATTGATAATGATTTATTGATCAGAAGAATTAATGATAAACCATTCAATTACAACTTCATACGAATCATGGACAAAAAGATATAATTCTATGACCTATAGATAGGTCTGTGTAGAACCGCTAAAATACACATACTATGGGTTGTCAGATGTTAACATAAAGTGTATCACTCGCATAAGTCAGCATTTAGATAATATATTTGCCATGTCAATCAGTTGGACACATCAACTCACAAGTTAGGTGATTTAGTTAAGATCAGTGAAATAAATTTATTTCTGAGAATTGTGGAAAATCCCACACAAGTGAGGAATATTAATCCTGATTCTGAATTTTGACAAAAATTTCATGTATGTAGGTAGTCGTTATTATTAGGACAATGATGGGACGAAATAATAAATCTGTTTGAAGGAAAACTAAGTAGAACTGTTGAAAAGAAATAAACTAAGTTTCTTTAATACAATAAGCATACAGGCACTGCTACTTCAGTGTTTAAAATGCCTAGTCAGATTATCTGAAATAAAATATTTGACCAAGTTGGCTAATGTATCTATGGGAGAGTAGTTAGTGGATAATGAAATTTTAACATTGATACAAAACGTTATGGTGGTTTTTGCAAACTTATAAAAGCTGTGGTACAGACAAGATGTATATTTGTACATCAAAAAACAAATATATTTTTTACATCAGTTTGATCTTTACCAGTTTAAATCCGTGAAATATGCTCTGTAAAGGTAGAAGACATTGTGTAGGTGATCACTAGTTATTAATTTCATTTGTCTAATCACTCTACGTAATCACGATACAGGACCAGTAAAAGTTAGAAGCATGGCCGCCATAATACATTTTATTCAAATGGAATAGAGTAAATAAGTTGAATGGTGTATTTGGTAGATTTATTAATGAAAAACAAACCTTTTCACTATGTATTGGTAATTGATTGTCAGTAGATGCCCAACGTATAGATTCAAATAAATTTTTGTCAAGATCTCTTCGAGATAAAGTACTTCGATCTAGAATGATATCTGGAATCTAGACGAAGAAAAGTAGGTTTACTAATATGGAGAAATGAGAGATTTATCTATCGACTAAAATTAAAACAAACATGTGAATATTTCAAATCATAAAATGTGAAAAACACAACTTGGTGAAACTGGACTATGAAACTTCAACTTATTTGAGAACTCTTATTTGAAAACTAGAACCTTTAAATCGTTATGCGTGATCTACTTGATATTGATCATAATGCTACAGTGTCAGAATCAAAGATGTATAGTACATATTACTAAATGACATGAGTTGCTTGGAAAATTCGATCTTACCAGGTTCAACCATGTTCACAAGGTGAAGGTAACTGAAAGATACATAGAGTTTAACTGGATTACCTTCTAAAATATCTCAGATACCTTCACAGTTCTATAAATCTTAAGAATGACCAATACTTTCATATAATTCACAAGTCGATTTAAGCTAAACCACTATTGGAAACCTGAAAGCACTGGACGACTGTTACTTCCTGTTATAAGACTCCTCAACAGCGCACAACCATGGTCCCGCACGCGGGGATCAAACCCAGGACCTTCCGTCTGGCACACGAACGCTTAACCACATACTGATTAGTACTATCCTTTTTTAGTGGCGCTATTATTTGCATGAGTTTACAATGTTTTTCAGCAAAACTTAAGATATTACTTGATGCTAAAGATTGTGACAAGTGATTTGAGATGGTAACATTATAAGGATTCTATATAAATTGAAATTTACATGACAGAATCCATGTAAAACTTTTCATCAGTTTCAGTGTCTATAAACATCAGTGGAATGACAAGTGGTACAACATTTATATAGGAATAAGTAAACGAATAACAAATTAGTGTATCACGCATCAATTAGTGATTAAAGCAATTAACTATTGAATTGCAGCTTTGAACTCTATTCCATCTACTTAAATCTTAGGAAATGAGTAGTAGTCATTAGTTCTAAATTATGAATATGAGAATTGAATCGGATTGTAGAAACTTGTACTGAGTAAATAAGCTGTTTATTATTAATGTTAGTATTATTATCATGACCACTAGCGCCATACTTGATACCATGAGGTGAAAAAGCTAAAACAGTAATGACAATGTAGGCATGTTTCAGAACAATTTTCGTCACAACATATTCACAGTCACAATCGTATCTGCCAGTATCCTGAAAACTTCACTTACAAATAGACAGTATTTGTGTAGATAAGTTAGTGACATGCAGTGTATAACATGCCAGATATGGGCGTTGTTTAAAGTTGTTACAATCCACTATCACAGAGAGATGAGATGATCAAGGGGAATACCAGATTAGTAGTTAGTACCAATAATAAAGGAAATTGGTCAGAGAAAAAACGGTTCAAGACAAAATGGATTAGCGGAATTGAAAAGAAGGCAATTTAGAAACTAAGGATCTAATGAAAGGCAAGAAGTAAATGTACATGACCCATTAAAAACGATTCTGGGTCATGTCATTCAAATTCTATAACCATTAGTCACGAAAATCACTCGGATCTCGATCAGTTAGTATGTACCTACCTACAAGGTTCAATACAACAGTCTATGTCCTTATGGACTGATCCTATGTCTTGGTTTGACTGCCCCTAGCTTTCTTCCAACTCACTTATATACCAGTCAATATCGCGCGTCAAGGTAGTCGGTAAGTGGGCATAAGTCATACTTCACCTAATCACCGTAGCCGATAAGGTTTCACTACCTTACCTGCTACTCTGCGTATAACCTCAGCATTGCTAACTCGATGGTCACAAAGTACACGAGGATGCTTCGAAGACACGTATGGTCGAACACTGGTAACCTACAAATATCCTCCATTCTTAATGACCACATTTTACAGTCATAAAGCGAAATGCCACACAGTAATCTCATCCTTCAGTCGGCAGACAGATACAGCTCCTACGCCACAAGTGATGCAAGTTAGCAAAAACTAACCGAACTTTCTGAATCCGTGCCCATACTTTGTTAGACACCAATCCATCAGGGCTAATGAGTTCTATGAGATTAGTGAATCGATTGACATACTCAACTACTTCATGCCCTATCATTAGTTCAGGCATTGACATAGATCAGTCCTGGAACAGTATTTCACATCTTGAGGAGGAAAAACACATCCCAAAAATGCTTGGATTACAGCTTGAATAGGTCGGAATTTATTTATTTTAACACATAGGTATTGGTACAAGGAGACACCAAATACATATGCGCCACACGAATCTCAATTGATTTGTGTGAGGCCTGTGATACTGCTCGGGTGCCCAAACCGAAGCAGGTGGTTTTCTTAGGGGGCCACACCCCGAGCCTTCGACCTGAACGTCTGATCCACAAGGCAGTGGAGCATCGTAAGGAGATGCAGTCCCATGGTAGCCGGTGACCAACGATTGGTTCATACGCCATTTGTTCCTACAGGATACTGGAGCCCATGTGCACCATTGGTTTGGGGTCTGGTTAAAGCGCCGGACATTCGCTTTTCGTCCTCTCATTTTCGTAAACAACACCTGTGCCACGTGAAGGCAGTGAGTAGGACTTCCCTGGCAGGGGCTATGTACGCGTGGCCATGTGAGAGCATTTCGAGAGGGAGAGCGGACTCTCCCCACTCTCGGCCGTACCAGGGCATTTTGGGGGCCGGTCGGAATATTCTTTATTTTGTCGGCGTCTCCATCAAACAGAACTAGATCATCTGCGTATCACAAACTAGCAAGTGAATCTCCTGGTAGATCAATTCTTAAAACCTCAGATGATGAATATTATCTCTAAAAGCACGTCCATGACAAAGTTAAATAAAATTTGAGAAGACCATCCTGATGGTTATCAATTAGAGTTATTGATTCCGATGACAGTCTGCCGTAACTTCTGACTCAAACAATAGTGTTCGAGTAGAAACCCTGTATAAGGTTAATGTACCACTTTGGTAAGCTTTTTAATGACAGACACTGACATAAAACCCGTCGACTTACGGAATCGAACTCTCCCTATCGTGGACTCAAATAGTTAGCATTGATGGAGTTTGGGGATAAAGTAACATGATAGGGGTTGGTGATGGGGATATAAGGCATACTACGAAGTGATGAAGGGATATGATTATGAGAAGGAGGATCCCTAGTGCTATTAGAGGTATGAGGACAGATATTACTTAATGGTTGCCTGAAACTGTGGGAGGATATTTCTACTTGAGGGGCTTGAAAGGGAAACTAAATTAGTAGTATTCATACTGGTCACATACCGGCTTTCTGTCAGAAATTTGTACTGTATTAGCTCCAAAATGCCTCAAATCGAAGAAGGAAGTTCATGAGGTAAGCTGGGGTGTGCAATTTTGAGGACCAAACTGTTCGATTTCCTTCCTTCCGTTGTGAGAAGACAGCATTGCTCCAGATGCTGGTTGTCTAACAGAAAAACCTCATTACCGTCACACTTTGATACACTCAACAGTACGACTTGGCACTCGAATCATGAGTTTGCTGCTTTTAATCTTACCGTTACCCAACTGATTTACCTGTCTAACAAGATAGGACCTCAAGGAACTACTGTCCCAGAAGATATAGCTCAGCAAGATCACTACGATAGACAACCCAGACCCTTACGTCAAAGTAGCAGCTACAATTAAGTATAATAACTAAACATGGATAAACTATTTTATGTGATTCGGTCAGGAGACAAAGTAGGACTTACTTGAAAATGTGACAATAAATTCCCAAGATAATCATAAGTAAACACTGCTCCATGATGACTAGTAAAAAGTACTGACTTCAAACCCTCAGCGTAAACATCAACCTTTATTTAAAAAACAATTTTAAAAACGAAAAGAAATTTGTTGCATCACATTGTGAACATACTTGATGCAGAAAATTGAGATACAGTAAGCCTTCAATTAACCATGTACACTCAGTTATTCTGTTTGCAGTTAACTATACTACTTTGGTTGAATAAATAAGTATCTATGGGATATTTGTATCAAATGAAAAATGCTCTGTACAAAATTACGAGTTTTATTTATATGCATTTCAATACAATAATACATTTAAGTTCACGGTACGACCATGTCTTCAAGAGGTGATTTATTTGTGACTGCTAGAGTGCATTTTTGACAGATCTGGGAATAACTTTGATTATAGGGAAAGATTATAAGGGATTAAGAATGGTAATATTGCATATGATAAGAATGGGGATGAAGACAATCAGGGAACAGGAAGCTCACGATCATGACAGGTTCAGCGATATAAAAAGTAAATCGGAGCTACTGCTACAGATTTTTAACTTAGAGCCCTCTGGTATAATTCAGAATAGCAGTTAGAGACGCTGGCGTTATGATATTTGATTACTCTGAGTTCATCTCAAATTATGCTCTGTATAGCATAACGGTAAAGCGGTAGCTTGATTAGTAAAGCACTTAAGTTCCAACCACTGGGCTATACATCCCTACGCAGTCATGCACTACACAAATATTTGGTAACTCAGGCTTGAATACAGTGAGAGACTTCTTCTATCCTCTTCTTTGACCCACTAATCAGAGTAAAAAGACTAATTTAGTAATTGAAACTGCTGATGATGACCTCAGTCTAATTCAAAATAGACCAATTGCAGTAAATAAAATTTACGAACTAAGCATTTCTCGCTAGCATAAATCATAGTAAGAACATACAAGTCCATGAACAGAATCTACACTGAACAACTTCTTGTAACGGGAATTCATCTCAATCTATATTGATTTCCTTCCCCTTTAGTTTTATTTAAGGATCGCACATTCCCAATAAGTTCAACCTCAGCTCTACGTATTTTAATGTCGCAGCTAAATGCTAACACTACTCTTCACCTTATATGTGGCTTTAATTTCTGTAAAAGAAACTATGTGCATATCTGTGGTGCAGTTCCACAAAAACAACAGCCCCTTGATTTGTTAAAAGTTTATTATTGGATAATCAATAATATGTCATGCAATTTACGCGCTTAGATACCTCAATTTTTACTGTTAAACCAAACGTTTCTTCAGATGTATTCCAAAGTGGTTTTTTACAACCTTTTTGCGTAGTCAGTGACCAAAGTGTGATACTTTGAAGTTTTAATTTCAGTGAAGGCACAGATAGTGTCCTAAGAAATTACCAATTTATGAACCCAACATTCAACCAGTAGATAGATTATCGAGATCTCAATGACCATATATTATCACAGAGTACGTGCAGCTAAGTTTAAACTAAGCCTATGAGTAGCTGCCAAATCCTTTATCGTTAGTAAATACCATGATGGAGACTAAATTTCACAAAGCATGAGGAGACTAGTGTACTAATAAGCACACGTTTTATAAGTTCATACAACGCAGAGAAAATTTCGTACTCAGTGATGTATTTGCTGAAACTCGTACGTTTGGTCACTTACCGGAACTCCGCGTGATGACGGTACAGAACCGGGTCACCAAAGGACATGAATAAAGTGGATGGAATATGAATGCATGACAATGATCTGAAAAGATTAATCAACCTCAGGAACACTGGACTTTTCCTTTAAACCGATGTATATGTGCCAGGTTCTACGCTATAACTGACTGACTTTGATCATTCTAACAGACGTATTCTCGTGATTCCAAAAACCGTCACATAAGTCCTGTGACTGCAAGTGATTAAGTGAGGTGTTGTAGCCGTAACAGAAAAAAAGCAATTGCTTGAAACTCTTAGACCTACTGCACAGCGGTTCAACGTTGGCATGGTAATGTTTGCAGTTCTTATTGTGGTTGGTCTACTAGCAAAGGACGACAGTCAGTGTTTCTAGTGGTTAGATATTCTAAATTTCCATGTGGAAGCTGGTGACATTTACTTGTTAGTGAGCAACTTTGAGAGTCATATCAGCTTCATTGGCTTTTATCAGCTCGAGATTTATTCACCTGGTTGAACAGAAAATTGTTATATCAACCGACTAACATGGACCCTATAAACCACTCGACTTGGTGATACAACATTAACACTATACAATTGACCACATACGGTGCAGCGAATCTTAACACATGTTAGCTATGTAGCTAGTATGAAGCGTGTTAGTTATTTTTACCAAACAGAAATAGAAAGTAAAATGCCCACCACTATTATGTGGCTACGGACTAAAGAAGTGACAGAATTTTAAACCTGCTACAATAAGCAATATTCTGTTTTCTTACCGCAAGTGGGGTCGAAAAGAAGATTTCACCATAGTGAGTTACGGGCCAATTCTCGTAGGAAATACTGCATGACTTTCCTGTAACACATTTAAGCACGTTCGAAATTCCGTAAAGTACACCATCTACTGTAGAAAAGTAAACGTCAAGATTTCCATCTAAATCGATATCCTCTACTAAAGGATTAGTTATGACATGCAATTTTTTGGTTTTAACAAGCCAGTCGGAAATAAAAAATGCATTTTGTGAAGAAATATTTACAATGTTCTTAGGTAAAATGAATGTGTAACATGGGGAAAGCAAAAAGTGTAAAACACTGAAAAACGTAATGCTAAGATTCATAACTTTGTGCTGTTCTTGATACAGAAATTTTGCGATGCAATAGATGTACAGTTATTTAGGTTTATTCTTCTGTTCTAATAATCCTTTAACTGTTGTTAGGACACTTTCACCAAGTTCCGTTGGCGTGGCTATATTTTTAATCTAGACCAATATGATAAGGCCTTCAAAAGACCTACTTGATATTGATTTTGAAACAAAACTCCACAGTAGAATCCTGCCGCAAAAACAAACTACAAGATAAATAATTGCAATGTAAACCACTTACACAGTATCTGATCATCGTGCGCGCTCTTTTTGTGGTATCCGGATTCGATTTACATTTAGATTTGTGCTTTGAGGACAGAAAGCCAAGAGCCTGTGTTGCTCCTTTTCCAGCAGGCTTCCGCGCTTGTCTTATATTTTTTTGTATGAGCCAAATATCCAACAGCTTTGTAAAGAACTCAGCTTAACTAAATGTTACCTTTCCGATCGCTTCTTGATATTTCTATACAACTCAAAGTCTTTGGTAATGTTGAGTGTGTGGTATCTAACCAGTCGACTGCAATATTTCAAGTCAGTTTAGTAGCTGTTTGTGAGTTTGTGTATCTCGTAATCGGAGTGAGTGCATTGTTCTCAGGCAGTAGTGATCCTAGACACTGACGGTTTTCACATTACCAGGCAAGAGGTTGGTTGGTTGCAACGTGAAAAATAACAGAGAGAAAATTCAAGTACTATGAGATGGCAATCGTCTCAAAAACTGAGTAAGTAAATCAGTAATTTAGTTAATTAGTGATGCAGATAGTGTGAGGAGACCGAATTTTAAGAACAAAGAGGAAAACGGAGATGAAAATACGAGGGATAGGAGGGAGTTCGTGAGTTGATGATGTCAATAGGTTTTTGTGCCTGTAAGTACACTTCCTCCACACTTACATGGCCAAGCCATGTCATACAGATTAAATATCTATGTGTTCGCCATTTATTTGCCCTACTCTATAGTGCTTTGTACTGAATATGAAACGTCTCAGTCATCGTATGTTTCACTTCAACGATTGTGAGGTTGAAAACCAATACCCTCACAAGGTAAGTTGTCAAATATTCATCAAGCGCAGTTATTCCAAGCGGGAGGTGATAATCCATGAATTAGCACGTTTCATATCCAGTCTCGCTTAAAGCTGTACTGTTGTACATGCCACAGGTATTCGGAGTTTGACAACTCTTTAACCAGTAACATGTAACATGAAGCGTACCCACCTAGCGAAATCAAAAGACAGAAGCGAGGAAGTTCGAAGATTTATTTGATCGGCTATCAATATATCGAGGATCTTCTGAACTAGTCTGGCTAGCGATTGCAATAGATGTTGAGCAAGGAGTCCCCACACGTGATCTGGTGCGGATGCATGACCGAGCGCCTTCAGCTAGATGAATCCATCAAAACTAATGTGGTCAGCATCCAATGTCGAAGACCTACAGAGCTATTTATTTTGGGGATCTATTTACCGCTACACTGTGATGAGATTGTGCTCACAATTCGGTTGGGACAGCATTCCAAAAGGAAGAAACTCCATGTAGGGAAAAGTGAGGGCATATCTATATTTTTACTCTCTGATGTGTGATTTTCCTGAGGTTACCTCGATGGGCGTAATGATGATTTGCTGATAATATGCTTGCGTTGGAGTGATTCAGCGTATTCAATATGTTGTATGTCATCATCAATCCACCTCTTAATCCTCTGTAGCTCAGCACGAATAATCCTGTGTGTTGAAATCAGCTCTCGTAAAATTTATGTTCCAGACCTACCACTCACCTGGTTGCACGTCCCTGTACTTCATCTAGGAGATTTATAATGAAGCGGGAGCACTGACATTGAGGACTACACGGTAAGGCCGTGTGATGGGGACAACTATGTACTTGGTCCAAGTGATTTATGTGTCTTCTGAGGAGAGAGGATCTGAGAATCTTCTGAACTTCGAAATGGGTTTGAGTGTTCATTCTGCGGAGGTGTTAATAAAAAATATCGGACGGTTGCACGAAACTGTTCTCATATAATTTTATAGTCCACATCTATTTTTGCTGCATCCTCAATGTAGTTTAAGTCGGAGTCCTGTTCCGATTGGTTTGTAATTCTAAATCGGACATTATGGGGACCATACGGAGAGGATCGTTGTGGAGAATGTAAACTATTTGCTTCTTGTATGGTCAAATATTCTTAGTACGGTTTGTTGAGAGACTAAAATTTAACACGTTGTCCACGTTGTTCGGTAATTCTACCCTAGTCTTTCCTACTATAATGATAGAATCGATCCCGAAATTTCAAATTTGTCATAATATGACCACTTAATCTATAAGATCTCATGCAAAATTCATGCCATCATCTATCCTGACTTCTCGTATCATGACAATCGGCAATATGATATATAGCACCTCTGAGGATAGAATAATATACTTGATATGAATAAGGATAAGTCGCACAGAATGACCTCATCTGCAAGGCCGAGCCATGCCATGCTGAGCAACTGTTCTTGCGTTCACCGTTTTTGACCTTCATGCTGTTAAATGTTGAATATAAATATTTTCAGTTATCTTATGTTCAGCCTCGAGGATCTTGTGGTTAGAAGTGATACCGCTTTCAATTAGTTTAAAAGCCATGGCAAGTCATTTTCACTGTTTATCGACTTTCATATTATTTGGTCGACTGTGTACATTAGGGTGTTTCTCACCGAGGAGTAACAAAAGTAAGTAAGATCATCTAAAAGTATGATAATTAAGAGTAAGTGAATTATAGTATGAAATAAGACATTACCGATATTCACGTGCTGAAGGTTTTAAGTAAAGCCCGCTTGTTAAAACTAGCTCATGCTAACTGCCTCATAATTCCCCCTCATCTGTTCCAAATTTTTCCTGATTGTGATGACAAATAAATACAAACAAGGTAATTGAAAACAATCATACAGAACAAAGTTGCTCAAGAGGTGAAACAGCTAAAATATAGGATTATATGAACAATTGTAGAGGACAAAATTTAGAGAAAAGCTGAAAGAGTGAAGATAGGGAAAATGGGAATCACATATTACTAAGACTAAGCATATGAAAAACGAACTGTTTACGCGACTTCGATTGATTTTGGGAAAATCCTGGACTTGCACAACTGATTAGTTATTTTGTTGACATTAACCAACAACAATGGACTTTTATGAACCTAAAACCAGTAAATCTACTGAATGACATTCTTCTTCGAATTTAGTTACATTGATTCTTTTCAATCCTTAAGGTCGTGACCAAATAACGCAAATATCCGTCTCTTAGGTAATGGGTTTGAATTACAGTTGTACAGTTGGCAACTACTTTCAGATAATTGTGTCCCAGTGCCAGATATAAGGATATGGCCAGTTATTGAGTTACACTAACGCTTTCCCGACGTATTTTATTATCCAGACTCGTACCGGAGCAAACAGGAACCTATAGTTTGGAATTTATTCCCTTTTTAAATCTGAAGACATATTTATTAACAGAAGCCTTTCATCTGGCTTTAATAAGACAGTTTGTAACGAGAAGCTACTTAGAAGATACAAGACTTTATGACTATGCTTAGGTCTAAATAAATAAATATTATGTGGAGTCATTTTACAAATAAAATTGTTTGACAAAGAGTCCCGTACGCCAATGCTGCGTACTTATAAGCGTCCAACTGTTATGCTGTCTGATCTAGACAATGACAATAAATTAGGAAGCCCTAGCAAACAAGTATGGTTACGAAACTTGCATAAGGTGGGTGAAGAACCTGAGGTTACGCATTCATGGAAAGTTACCTCGCCTGTTATTCCTCTGAGCTGTAAAACTACATTCTTCGGTCTGAATGTGGGGTGTGATTTTTCTGGATCGGTTTTTATGGGTCTGGGAGGAGCTTGTCTATTGGAGCAGTCAAGCAAAGATAAAAGTTCCTCAGCGTTCGTAGAGAAGCACTGAGAGGCTTCGTTTCCACTAGATTCAGTGGATTTTATCAGTTCATTTAGCTGTTCACTTAATCCCAATAATGATTGCAAAGCATCAATGCCACCTGGTCGGCCAGATATAATTTTTAACGTCTAAAATCAGAAGTCTGAAGTTTTAAATATACTTGCAGCACTAATGAAATGATCGAGTTATTTTTGTTCGAAAGTAGTAAAACAAGTCCCTGTAGTGTAGTTTTGTCCTAAAATGAAGGAAATTGGTTTATAAATGGATAACTCAGTAACCTACATTTATTAGGGCAACATACTTACAATCATCCTCAGCCAACTTTTTTACCTCTTCTAGTGCTTCTATACCATACATTAACAATGGTTTGGGCTACCGTCTATACTTCAGATTGCAGAGACAGAAAACCATGTGTATGACCTTAAAATACGGCTCAAGGACTCGAAGAGTCCGATATCCAATATCATTTTCTTGAGATCGTATTAAAACTGATTGATTTCTTTACGATGGCTTGTATTACTTCTTTACAGTTTCAGAGTAATACAATTAATCATAGTTATTTAATCGCATCGCCACCTTATCAAAGGCTTTACATGGGTCTATGAAAATTACATCTATAGGAATATTTCGACCTTTTTTGTGGTTTTGTGTAACTTTAAGATTTTGTGAATGCGTTTTTTTAGGATGGTTGGGATCCTGAACATCACTAGCTCTCACATACCGAGCAGAACGTTGGTCGTTTGCAATGTAAAAATAATAGTGTTAATTAGCGTGCTAAGAGAGGATGATTGATTCAAGAATAACAAATAAGATGTGGCTGACAAAAACAAGAAGGGAAATGGAGGTTATAATAAAATACATAGTAAGTGGTTACTGATATGAGGCAATGATAATGGTAATAATTTACAGGACATGCATCAGACGCAGTCAGTCCAAGTGAGAATCGGTAACCCGTGAATGAGTAACTGTCTATCAAGTCTCTTTTAAAGCTATACATTGACAGGGCTGTGTTCACTTCATCTTGTTGAAGCAACATTCCAAACGTGAGAAACTCTTAGCGAGAAAAA